ATTGAATTATGTTCTTGTAGTTGATTTCAGAATTTGCAACCTTTCAAAAATATTTAATAATTATCTCTTATCTAGAGACAGACTGTGGCGTGTGCGGTTTAATCACCCTGTGCTAAGAGTTGTGTATTACATTTTTTAGGATGGAGCACTGCCACCCTCTAGTGGCATTCATATGCATTTCACCCATTTCACTCGGAAAGAAAATGAATTGCGGCCTGATCGTTTTAGCAAAAAGGGTTTCAGTGGTTGACTGTGCAGAATTACCATTTTGCATAGTTTGCTCTTCCACAGCATTAGAATGCTATTAGATATTCAGTGATAACTTGTATACTTTATGCCACAACAAGGCTGTGTGATTGTTCTCTTTGAAGTTAAAAGTTTAACTGGTTATTAATTATATTCTGTAATCATTTACATGATATCAGGCTCACCCAGTTTTTCAACTTGCCCCAATTGTAGTCAGTCAGCAAAGACCTATTTGGTGTCTGAAGTTTGCTTCTTCAGTTTTAGCACTGCAACTGCGAGGCTAATGTAGCTAACAAGAAATGGAAGCTAATAGCCCCCCTGTTAGCATTGTGCAAAGAAAGTGTATAATGATTTAGGCTTTTGCTGCAGGCCCTCATAGCTTTGAATAGTTTTCGTTTGGAAAGTGGACATTTTAAAAAAGTGCTATTTCAGTTTTGGAACAAAAGTTGAATTTTGTCCATAGGTGTGTTTAGTTGAGTGACTCAAGCTGACCTCAGGATAAGGCAGCAGTTTTGTTGCGTAAGCTAATGCAGATGCGTTTCTGGTTTAGTGGAATATTTGCTCGCACAGGTGTTTGGAAAATGTAGGCCACATTCAAAGACTGTTTTAAAGCCATTCAGTAGAGGAAGAAAAGAGAGAAACTAGCTTAGTCTTTGTGACTTTAATTTAACTGTCTTTAACCATTTATCTGTGCTGTTTAGACTGCTTACTTGCTTGTGTATGTAACTTGTTGCTTGACCATGTGATGCTAACTTTAGCCAGTGAGCTTATCTCGCTAGTTAGCTAGCCATTAGATACCTCTACTATGGAAAGTTTTCACTTTCTCAAAATAAAGTTTGTTTCACAAAATTCTGGTTTGCTATGCAGGGTCATCACAGTATCAGCCCAAACCGGATGCATCAACGCATTTGGATTACACCGCCCAGCTTTCCTGGCAATACAGCCACCTCACATTGAACGCTGGAGTGCTGATTTCACACACTGACGTTTAAAAAGCCGACCAAAACGGATGCATGCAAAATCGGCCAACATCTAGATGGTGTACATGTGCAATAGAAAATGCAGAGTTTGATATGTCGTGAAGTCATATCTAGTAACAGTGTGCATTTTGTAAGCGCTGACATGCATGCTCATACAACACAGTGCAGAAGTCAGGGTAAATTCACACTCTTGCACAGATTTCTGGTTGTTTGAGAGTATGAGTGTTGTCACTGATCAACATTGTATCATCTGACTGAGCAAATAAAAATCTGCCATTTTTAAACAGTAACAGTTATAACTAGAAAAAAGTTAAAATCGTATTTGTAAAGGGCAAAAGTGAGGAGCTCAGGGTTTTTTCTAAAATTAAAATATTTTAATATTCTTAATTTTTTCCTCTTATTATTATTTATATGCCACACTGAGATAACCATGGCTAGCTAGTAATAAAATGAAAGCCAGTGGCACAAGTTTCATCTGAAATGTGACACAATCATGGCAGTCAATATGCTACAAACTGCTAGCAAAGTAAGTTAAGATCAGCATTTCTCACTGCCCACCTGCTCGGATATGTCCTCATCTTTCTTAAGTAGATTCTTCCTTCTTGTCTTATCTGTGCCACTGTAATTTTTTGCAATTCTTGCCATTGCTGTCCATCTTCACATTATTCACAGATGAAAATTGCTATCAGTAATTGTCTCTATGCACTGGGCGAGACTCAGTTACAGTCAGTAAACTGGGCGTGGACTACTTGAGGTGGTGGGTCACTAGTGTAACTTTTTTATAGTATGTCTGAGTGTTCCTGTGCTTTCTTACATTAGTTTTTACATTAGCTCACAGTAACTGGCCCAAAACAGTATCGCCCACCTGATGTTCTCCCGACTGTCCGATCTACCCACTCTGGCATTGCTCTGGGACAGGTGTCGGCAACATGCGGCTCAGGAGCCACATGCGGCTCTTCTACTGCCCTGTTGCGACTCCACAGCAGAATTACATTTTTAGGTAAAAATAAAATAATCCTGCTTTGCAGTAAAATAAAGCTCTGCTTATCGTTCTACCACAGTTTTAGCAATACATGGTCTTAAATGCTGGAGTTAATGTATAAATGCTAATTCACTCTTTAACCCTGAATATTGACAGCAAGTCACCATAGCAACACAGATAACAATCTCGCCCAGCTAGTAAAAAGGGAAAGATAAAGATTTAGGGTCAACATCGATAATTTAGAGACAATTGAACTTATTCGCATTCATGATCACTCCAGCTCGTTTCCTGATATGTTTAATCTGCAACGATGCAAAGCTAAAGTTCGTTCGCCAGCTTCTTGTTCAAATTTTCTTGTTCCACCTAAAGTGGTGCAGCAATTACGTTCTGGCGCCTCAGGCACCATTTAAGGTAGAACGGGAAAATTCAAACAAGAAGCTGGAGAATGAGAAGCTGAATTTAGCCTTGTAAAAAATTTAACGTTGAAAGACATTTTACAAGAAATTATTCTACTTTTGAGGGAAAGTTTCGTGCCAGAGATGCGAGAAAAGCGGCTATAGCTGAGCTAAAGCTTAAAACAGCAAAGCAAGTCTGCGTTTTTGTTACTTGGTCTACACTAGTACATACTGCACATACTGAGACATATTTACAGACAAGATGGTAAAATGGACATAAAATGTTGTGGCTCCCAAGACGGTTAGATTTTTATTGAAAGGACAAAATGGCTCTTCTTAACATTTGGGTTGCCGACCTCTGCTCTAGGATGTAGCAAAAGCTGATCTATATATCTTCATTCCCACATAGTAAGGTTCAAAACAATGCAGGTTTTGTACCATCTGTGGATCTACACAGTGACACCAACTTCTTCATACATATTATATAACATGGAGCAGCGTCAACGTTTTGAGGTGTACCTACCTACATGCACTGGCCATTTTATCACACACACCTACAGGCATTAGCCAGTTCATCACATACCTTGTGGATCCAATATATACAGTGGTCCCAAAGCTATTTGGACAATTGTACTTAAAAAATTCAGTACGTTCATTGTGTTAGGAAACAAAATGTCAAACCAACTGGCTGGACCATTTCAAGACTGTCATTTTCTTTCTGGTAAAGTAGACTTTCAAAAGGCATCTGGTGAGTTTCAGATCATTACGTCTCATAAGTTTTTTTGTAGTTTTGCATCCAGAATATCTTTGTACACTTCTGAGTTCATGATCCCATCAGTGAACACAAGCTCAGAGACGGCACTGTAAGACAAACACCCCCAGACTTCGAAGTTTCCACTTCTGTGCTTTACAGACCCTTCAGTGCAGTCTGGTTGGAGGCTTTCTCCAAGCTTTTTCCACCCAAAGACTCCACCATCTGATGTTTTTCTCTAAAACAAATGTATTTTTTTAAACATTTAATGAAATAGCATAAACTTTTGTGGCCACTCCAGGTTTTACAGTTACAGTAGTATGCAATTAAACTCTATGCAGCTTATCAGCCCCCCTCCACCTCATTCATCATTGGTCAGTTTTTGACCACAGACTGCTGTTGACCAGATATTGTTTGGGTGGTGATCCATTCTTTGCCCTAAAATGTGTGCATGTTGTTCAATATCAAAACTGTAGAACCTTAAAAGGAATCTACTTTAAAAACCAATCAAGCAGAAAGAGGCTCATTTACTCATGCGCAAGTTAAATGCTAACAATGTTTGAGCGATATGGTCAGGAACTCTTTTCCACATGGCTTCTTTACAGAAGAACCATTAAACTGTTAGATTCACTATAAGATACACTTTGTGAAAATTATCACATTTTAAGTGATGGTTTGAGCAGAAATTAAACTTTTCAAATTGCATGTATTCTTAAATCATTAGGAAGTAAACAGTCATTCAGAGTAGTTTGATGTGAAATGCTCTGTTCTAGGGAAAGTTACCAAGTTAGAATTGTTCAGTGGTGGTGATAGGAACCAGACGTCCACCTCTAAAAGCTCTCTTACAGTAAGTTAGTACATGAAATGGTTATGAATACACTGCCTGGTGGCTGAAACTTTTTTTACTACAGAAATAAGGATTTGCCTTAGAACATTTTTTAAAACTACATTAATGGTGGAGGGGCGCATGTAGGGTGATATATGGCAAAATAGTCCCCAGTTAATATATGTTGTTTTTTTCCAGATTTACCACTATTCTATCATCATCAACATTCCATATAAAAACTCAGAAGACGTGTAGGTCACATAATTGCCACCGACAGCACTGTCACTGTACTGAAGGAAATATAGACCTAACATTTTGAATAAATGTAATGAACCTTAACTCATCTTTTTGGTAGTTCAGGGCAAGAAGAAGAAGTTGTTTGCTTAAACAGCATTTACTGTCAGATCTTTCATTGATCAGTACCAAAATCAGTGCAATTAAGTGTAATTTTTGAATCATTTTTGTCCATGGATGATTTGAGAGTAATGCAGGAAAGCTGGCGTTAAACATGTTATACCTTAGCCCTCCAGGACAAAAATATGGGCACCCTGCCCTATGAAATACTGATATCTATTTTAAAAATGGACAAAAGTACAGTTAAAATTCAGGCTTAAAGATACTGCTACTACTGTTTTTACATGTGCAGTATAGTTTTGTCTGGTTATCATAGTCTAACAGTCTGTTAGTTTGACCGTCAGTGAATTACCACCACATATGCATTCTTATTGTGTATTAACCTGGTCTTTTCTGTACAATATGGGCCATTTAACAGATACCCAACTAGCTGTTACTCATAGCCAAACTATTTGCTCTGTTTTAGCTGCGGTAAAAATGGAAAATGAGGATGTGGAAAGTAAAGCAGAGACAAAGCAAGATGCTCCTCAGCCTCCAAATCCACCAGCTTCATCAGATGGTCCTGAAAAAGATGAGAAAACTGAGAAAGTGGATGAAAAGGCAGCTTCTTCAGCTCCGCCGCTCAGGAAACCGGGCTCTAATCCCCTTCCCAGTCGAGCCAAAAAAACCATGCCTGGCTCTCCACGCCTGGCTGGCCTCAAACAGCTCCAGACGGAGCCTCCACAAGTCAACAAGGGCACGTTTACTGTGCCAGAGAAGCCATGTCAGTCTCGGAAAGCTACTGCTGCACCACAGGACCCAATGGGTTCATCTGGTCAAGCATCGGAGATCCGGATCCTGCCGGTCACTCCGGCCCCTGTTCCACCTCCCAGACCTCTTCAGGCTCATCCCAACATGCAGATGAGGCAGAACATCAGGCGCTCACTCACTGACACCTTAATGAAAAGGTTAGAGCAAACTGACGTATCTGGACTCCGCCCACAAATGTGCTCGTAGCTGCTGTTGTGAGGTTGGACACGACACTGTAAGAAATCCCATCAACCTAATGAGAAACTGTAAAACAGACTCAGTTTATATCACAGTTCCTGTTCCCCTTTCTTGCTCTACACACAAATGTTGTTTTGGCTATGAAAATCATTTGAAATGAATATGATCAGGGAAGTGAATAATACAATGAATAATAAGATTTTTAGTATTTTGACTTACAGTACAGTTTCTCATAGGTTTCTCATTAGGTTGAATGAATAACTGGCTCTAAATGTAGGTATTGTGATATAAACTGAATCTGTTCTACAGTTTCTCATTAGGTTGAATGAATAACTGGCTCTAAATGTAGGTATTGTGATACAAACTGAGTCTGTTCTACAGTTTCTTACTGGGTTAAATGGGATTTTTGCCAACGTTCTGTAATGCTTTTCTAATCTCATAAAACGTACCAATAAAAGAACACATTTTAATGTGGATAGGTCAGTCATGAAGCATTGATGAGGTCTAGTATGGTCTAATTATAAAGTGTAAATTTTGAATCATTAGTGTGACTGCTATGCTCACTAAGTCCATTTTCTTCATTATTAGGGTGACTGAAAGTGATGATTTGGAGATGTCTGAGAGTGACGTTGGAAAGCTAGCTGTAAACATTGAGCGAGAGATGTTCAACATGTACTACACTACAGACAGCAAGTACAAGAATAAGTACAGAACTCTCCTGTTGAGCTTGAAGGACCCCAAAAACAAGGTGTCTTTAATAGCATTGTGTTCACCACAGTACAGTATGTTTATATCTAGAACTTTGTTCTTATAAATAGAAAGTCAATAAAGTTAAAAATATTTGTTTCCAACATGTTGTTTAACCCTGTTTTGGAGTTATGGCCTATTATGTTGGTTATGAGGCACTTTGACTTTTAGTTCTTCTACACAACACTTAAAAATTTTGTACTCACTTTGTCTTAATATGTGTTTTTCAGGGCCTTTTCTACCAGGTTATTAAAGGCCAGATCACTCCATTTAAACTAACCCGACTGAGTCAGCAGGAGCTTCAGTGTGTTCAGGTATCCCAGGTCTGAGAATCTCATGCTTTATACATTTCTTTAATTGTACACAACTGATTTTTAGCTGATTAGTATCATTAGGGTGTTGATCACTGTGGTTCTACTTTTGTTATTGCTATCAACATCAAAAATTTGGTATTGTGACAAAAATAATGAAGGGCAGTGTTCTGGAGGGTTGGAATTAGATGCCTTTGGTGGTGGTTTGATGTGTAGATGTCAGATTTCTTTACAGTGGTGAGGATGGGATCCAGGGGTTGTCATGTGTACAACAAAAATATAGCCATTTTATTTACTATCCACAACCACCAGTGAGCCTGTATGTGTCTTGTTTTTACATATTGTAAGACACTCTTGCAGAATAGAGTAGCATCAACCAGGAAACATAGGCTCATCCATTTATTGATGTGAACTTAAATATAATCTGATACAAAGATGTGCTTGGAAAATATGGATTTTATCAATTCCATGCAGAACTAGCCACCGCTGCTGGATAGAATATGAGAGAAGAGGATCTAATGATGTTTCAGGAGGTGCATTGAAGTATTATCTCTAATAATTAGAAATTTGTCTCCGACAGGAAATTGCTGCCACCTTCTTGAAGGAAGAATCGGCTCCTGTTTGTTTAAACACGGAGGAGCTTCTTTCTGCATGTGAAGACAAAGTGGTCAAAACAGAGAGCACTGCCACTTCATCAGTAAGTCATCTACTGTTTTTCCAGACTCTCCATACAAGTACACAAAGTTAGATTATGAAGAAGTCATACCAGATGTTCATGTCCAAGTAGGGCTTCATGATATGGCTGGAGTACTACACTTTTAAAAAAGATGGTTCGTCAGGGGTTCCTTAGTAAAGACAATGGTTCTGTATAGCACCATACATAGCACCAAGAATGTATTTTTCTATTTTTACAAGCTTGACATCATAACAAGAGCAGAACCCTTTTTGGTGCTATATAGATCTCTTTTCAAAAAGGTTCTATATAGAACCATATACAACACATTCTCTATCAATCTGAAGAAGCATTTCGTCATGGAAGTGGTTCTTTGAGTGTTCATGGTTCTATATGGAATCATTATCTTTACTAAAGAACAATTAAAGAACCATCTTTTTAAAGAGTGGAATATTATCAGTGGCGTAAGTACTGAGGGGCCATGGGGTAGTGTCAAGTCAAGACCGAGGCCAGATTTATTTATTTATTGTATTTTATTGTATGTTTTGCATAATACATACACATTTATAAATATTATTATATTTTACAATACTTCTATGTGAAATATAACATTAAATAATATATAGCCTAAAAGCATAATGCATTTCTACTATATTACAGTCTTAGTCCAACTTTGCATTGTAACTTTTGTAGGTAAATGATGGTGAGGTTCTTTTTTGTCCATTCTTCTCTAAAACATATGCAGAATCACTGTCAAAAGCCAACTGAATATATACCAAACATCCATCCATTTTTATTATTAAATGAAAACATGGTAATAATAACATTCCGATCTGCCCCCAGGGGATATTTGAGCTTTGAAGCCAATGAAAATGAACAAACAAATAATACCTAGTTACGCCATCACGGAAAGTTTTATTCTGTTTGAAATTTCCATTGATATTAAATAATGATATAAAATGAGTTTTCAGTTACCTGAGATGAAGGCATCAAGATGGTCTCAAGAACAATATCTGAGTCCATCTTACCCTGAGACCAAGTCAAGGCTGAGTCCAAATGATCTCAAGACAGAGATAAGACAGAGACCGTTGATTTACGATCTTAAGACCAAGACCAGACTTGAGTACTACAACACTACCGGTGGGGCAATGGGTTGGTCAGCTCGAAAGTGCCAGTTATGTGCAACGTGCCATCAAAGGCCTCCATTGATATCAATATTACAAACAACACCTTGAGCAGCCCTACATTAAATGAGTTATAAGGTCTCTGTTCGGTATTTATTAAGACAGTAGCATAGTGGCAGGTGCTGTGGCTGTCTCTATAGAGGCTCAGAGTTAATTTCATTTTTTTTCCCGTTAAGGAAGAGAAAGCTTCTGCATCTCAAGTCAAGCCTGCACAGCCCAGGAAAGTTAGCACGGCTGTGTCGGACATCATCAGCAGCATGCTGAAGGACACAACATCAGAACACAGAGCCCATCTGTTTGATCTAAAATGCAGGATATGTACTGGTAAGTCACTTCCAACCTTTTCTTCTTTGATTATTGAATCGTTTAAGTAGGTGTAGACAATATAATGATATGTTATCACTATCACAGTAGATATCATGATAAGCTTTTATGAGCATAGGGAGGGGATGAAGGCAAAAAACGTAAATATGTACAATTATGGCGGTGACGTGACCACTGGCGGTCACTGCCATGGATGATTTTGCTGTTAAGTTCAAATCTTGTCAATGCTGAGAGTCCAAAATCACTGTAATGTATGGCCTCAAGTTGCCTAATAGTAGTGGGTTTTAGAAAATGACAATGTAAAACATTGTAAAAAAGTTTTTCACCAAATAATTTGTTATTATTAATAATAATCATGACAAACAATTCTTCCACCAAGAATTGTACTTTGTTCTCTGCAAAAAATGACATTTTTGCTAGTGAAATCTTCTTAATTCTAGTCTAGTTAAATTTTATAACTATATTGGCAGGTAAGTTGCTTTTTATGCTTGAAACAACCTAAATTATCTGCTGATGTAGTGTGATAATTTTACTTAATGAAAGTACTTTAAACAAGTAGATAAAATAAGATAATTTAACTTGACAAACTATCATTTTTTGTAGTGTTACACCCTATATAGAGCCTTACATAGGAATTGAAGTGGCTCCTGCTCTTAAACAGTGCATAATATGTCTAACAAAAAAGCCGTTTGGTTTTAAGCCATGTGTACAATTCCATGCTGGACAAATTTGAGTGTACAAGCTGGAATTTTATAACTTACATAGTGCACTGTTAAGGGAGTAGGGAGTCATTTGAGATTTGGCCTGGGCTTAATGGTACTTCAGGCAGACTAAAACACAGACATTCGATGCATGTAGGACATATTGTTTACTTGTTTACATTGCACGTTTACAGTGAATCATATAATAAGTATATTAATTTAAAGTTTAGGGCATTAATGTATTTGATTGGACAGTCTTTTACTCTGTTAGCTAGCTCATTAGCCTAGTTCTAGCTAAAAAAAATAAGTTGTCAGCCCCTCAGTTTAAACAGGGCTCTTACTTTATCTATCAGTACATTCGTTGGTTGCGCAGTCAAAGATTGCTGTATTCGAAGTCGTGTTTATTCCATTATTCTTACATTTTTAGTGATTGGATGCATTTACAAAGAGCTCAGTTGCAGATATAAGTGGGCATATATCAAGTATGTTTCTGTGGTTATTAACTCTGCTGAGCCAATCAGATTTTGGCACTGGTACTATGTTTTATAATACTCGTTATAAAAGGGATAGTTCCCTTGATAGCCACCCCTGATATCTCTGTATTCCCTAAGTAGTAAGCTACATAGGTTGAAATTCTAGCTCCTGCAGCCGACCAGTGCACTGTTTGTTGAGTGTGGATGTGGCTGAATGGCTAGTTTTTTTATGTTATGCACTGTTGGGGTGCAGGAGCCAGTATTTAAACTCCTACAGAGCGAACTGTGTAGGGAGCAGGGAGACATTTGAGATTCAGCCCCAGTGTAGGAAGATGGGTGCCTTTAGCTTGGTGCTAAATAAGACTGGAAATCACAATGAAAGTGCTTTTGGAAATTGTGTATAGAGCACCAAGTGTACTGATAGATGAAATAAGAATCCTGTTTAAACTGTGGAGCTGATAATGTATTTTCTTAATAAATGTGCTAAAAAAAATAACAGGCTAAATGATCACTGACAGGCTAAACTGCTCCTCTATTAATATTTAGGGCAAGGCCTTGAGGTGTAGTATTTACTGAATCGTTCACTTTAAAACTGCACAAAGAAAAAGTAAAAAATGTTCCTTTAATGTCTTACATGCTTTAAATGTCTGTTTTTGGTGGACACAATATAGGATATCATATGCAGGCACTACTGGACCTTAGCATTATTGTTGGGGTAATTTAGTGAGCATTTCCTCCTTCAGCAGTCCATAGTTGCTTGGCATTTCATTGTATATTGCTTGGCAACAGTAGTCTACCTACATTTTTTTGTGAAAGTATTGTTTATGATTATTGCTCATTATAACTTAATTATATATTGAAAATTACTTTGCATCGCATTTAGAACACCCCTCACTCTTAATAATATCACAGTAATGCATTGCTCACTGCTTTAGCTTACATAAATTTCATGTCCCACAGGTCAAATTTCTGCAGATGAAGATACTGATGTAAAGATGTTCAAAAAGGAAGAGCTGAAAGATGAAGAGGAAGAGAAAACAACACCATGGGTCATTCAGATATTTGACAAAAAACCTCCAGATCCTGCACCTGTAGAAACTGACCCTATCATGGAGTCGCCTGCCTCTCCAACTGCAGATGATTCTAGTGTTGAGACAACTTCGTCTGACTTTTCTCCACTGGTGATCCCTGAGGTTTCTGTTGTGTCCATCACAAGAAGGGATCCACGTACTGCTTCATATCGACCTGCACCTTCCCCTTCTGTTGCTCCAACTTCTGCTCCACCTCCACCCCAGTGTCCACCCCTGATGCCCACTGAAAAGGAGGCTGTGGAGGAAACAAAGGCAGTTGAACCTTTGCCACTTCCTCCACCACCACCTATGCCCAAGTCTATTCTAATGAAACCCTCTGCCCCATCAGTGCCTAGATTTTATAGTACATCTAGCTCAACTACAAGGTGCGTGAATTTTTTTGCATGATGTGCCAGCGTTCTTGATATATTGAATCAAATGTGTAACAGTACCCTTTGACATTATAATACACACTTTACAAGGTACTATTGTATAAAAAATAGCAAAAATGATTAACACAGCATGTGATTCCTAAATTTTGATCGCTAGTTTACAATTGCAGGCAAAAGTTTGGGTCCCCTGTTCAAATTACATGTTGATTTGAAAATAGGTTGACACTCTCTACATATGGAGTTGCACAACTTAGGTCCTGGAGGGCCAGTGAACAGCACAGTTTGGTTGTTGCCCTTCAAACACACCGCCTAAATCTGGCAATTAAAAGATGAATGTAATCAGGTGTGTTTGAGCTAGTAAATCACCAAATTGTGCTCAACACCAGCCCTGCAGAACTGGAATTGTGCACTCCTGCCCTCCAGAGAACACACTTAACTTATTTTAACTTAAAAAAATCAACAGAACATGTGGTTTTACAGTAAGTGTTCAAAGTTTTGCATACAACTGTTAGCTATCAGTATTTTCATTTTAATGAACGTTTACTTTGTGCATATCAGTAACATGCTGTAACAATTATTTATTTGTTTATTCATTTATTTGTTTGTTTATTCATGTATTTATATATTTATTTATACATACCTTTCTAAAAATGTTCAGTATTGCTGAATTCCAAAACTATATGACCCTTACCAGTCTTTATTTTGCTTTTTTTTATTTGTAGACTGACGAGTTCCCACACCCCGACTGAAAATGAGACAAGCCAGTTTCTGTCTAAACAGGATACGGTGTGGAAGGGCTTTCTCAACATGCAAACTGTGGCCAAATTTGTTACGAAGGGATATTTAATCTCAGGATCAGATTCTGCTGAGCTTCTAAAAAAGGTCAGAACTTGTATTCTTGACAGATACTCACACACAGGCATGCACATGAATGATGAACTCTGTAAGGTTTGTTTTGAAACCAAACATATATACCTCGTGAGTAATATATGTATCACCAAACAAAGGTTGGTTCTATTCTATATAATGCTTGAATGCTTCTTTATATTGATGGAGACTTATGTGTGTTCCTTTATAAAACCTTTATTAAAATGGTTCTGTGTAGCACCACAAAAAAAAGTTTTTATTGTTACATGCTTGATATTGTCACAATAGAAAGAACTTTGGTGCTATATAAAACCATTTTCAGCCATTTTTTATTGATTGAGTTGATTTTTATTTTGCCATTCAGCAATATATACCCTGAGGTATATATGTTTGGTTTCAAAACACAGTAAACAGCCCTTTCATGAAGTTTCTGTTTTTTTTGTGATAAACGTTCTTGGCCACGTACGAGAAATATTAATTATATTTGACGTTTTATCTGATACTTCTTAGGTTTATATTGAAACGCTGGGGTTTAAGAGGAGTTAAGGCCAACTGTATTTTGCAGTGCAATAAAAAAATCCTTATTTGGCTTACCCACCAGCCTTTATCAATTTGGTGAAAATAATCTCTATATATTAAATAGCAACTTGTTTCCTCTGTCAAGGATTTGCCAGATACCATCCACATTGGCGGTCGGATATTACCGCAGACAGTCTGGGAATATGTTGACAAAGTAAAGACATCTGTAACAAAGGTACACCCATCAACCCACTCATAAAATGTCTTGCTATGATAAGTTTCTTGATAGTATAAAAGTCTGATAAAGTCATAAATGTCTTCATGCTCTCTCATAAATTGGTTTATTTGTATTCTCACTTTTCTCCAGGAGATGTCCTTGATCCGCTTTCATCCAGCAACTGATGAAGAAGAGGTTGCCTATGTGTCCTTATTTTCATATTTCAACAGTCGCAGACGATTTGGGGTAGTTTCAAATATTTGCAACAGTATCAAAGACCTTTATCTCATTCCTCTCTGTGCAAAAGAGTCCATCCCCTCTGTACTGCTGCCACTGGAAGGCCCAGGTAACTAATTTAAAGATGTTACAGTGACACAAAATTATTTATTTATTTTTTAACTGACTTTGTGCTGATTTTGATCCTTCTTTCCCAATTCTTCTGTTAGGCCTTGAAGAGCAACACCCTAATGTTCTAATTGGGCTGGCAATTTGTCAGAAATTAAAGCGTCTTGGGACGCAGACACAAGAAATTGATGAAAAAAGACCAAGAATCCAGATGCCATTGGATTCGCAGGGGGTGACCCCTACTATCAAACCTGCAGTTCCTGAAGCTACAACAGATATGAGTGACCCTTATGATCCAGATATACCAATCAGCACTACTCCTCCTGGATCTCCACCAGATACTCGATCACCAGATTCAGCCACCTCCTTTTCAAGCTCTTTGTCTGGCCCATCTGTGCTTTCTAATATTCTTTCTGGGGTAAATCCTCCGACCTCTGTTAGTGCCTGCACTACCAAGACCACCTCTTCTGATCTTCCACCATCCTCTGAAGCAGGCACTTCTTCCAGCACTACACCTCTTCAAACCATTCTTAATACATTATTTGGCAAAAGGAAACAAGACACTGTGAATACCTGTGAGCCAAGTCCTTCAGAAGTCAAAGAACTTTCAGTGTCCTCTCCGACTTTTGACCCAATTGTTCAGCAGTACCAGCAGACTCCAAAGAATACAATAATAGAGAAGATGGAGTTAGATGATAATGATAGACCTTATGACCCTGAGGAAGAGTATGATCAAGGAATTGGATATCAAAGCATCACTACCTCAAGCCTCATAGAAATGTCAACACCTAATCCTATTACTGCTGTATGTGAGGTTGATGACAACGATAGACCCTATGACCCAGAGGAAGAATATAATTTAGGAAACAAGGTTGATGCTGTCACCTCAGTTGCTACAAAATCTTCTGAGACTTTACCATCAGTGAACACCTCTGCTGTAAATGATGACGTAGCCTATGATCCAGAAGATGAAACAGTTTTTGAAGAGATGCAGACCTACCTTGCAGATAATAAACCCTCCACCTCTCAATATGGATCAGCTTCAACCGTGTCATTGTCTGAGCAGCAGAAGATGCTGGAGGAGTTGAACAGACAGATAGAGGAACAGAAGCGTCAGCTAGAGGAGCAAGAGGAAGCATTGCGTCTACAGAGGGCAGCAGTTGGCGTTTCTATGGCCCATTTTTCTGTCTCTGATGCTCTCATGTCACCACCTCCACGTTTTGGCAGGGAACCAGAGGATGCCGCAGAAAAGACTTCAGTTGTTCCATTAATTAATCCAAGTAGAGATCCAAGGCAGTGCAAAAATGTAAGGCAGGATGCTATTAGTGACAATTTAACAACGGTTCATAATGACAAAGAAAGTTCTTTAAAGGAAATTTGTGTAAGAAAGCAAGCATTGACTCAAGCAACCTTTCTGGTACCTTCAAACAGTTCAGTGATGCCAGATTTGTCCAAGCCTGAGCAAGAGCTGATGTTAGACGTTGTAAAGAAAAAAATAGATATGCCATCATTAACATTAGCTGACAAAATGAACACAGATGAAGAAAGTTTCTACCAATGTTAATGCAAAAGATTTGCATTCTGCAGTGATTTTGCAAACCCATACACATTTAAGTGCATCTGAACTGGAAGAAGGTATGTATTCATCATCTGGTAATGAGAACCGTCAACACTCGCATTCACACTCTAAGGTTTCTGGCAAATCAAGACAAAGTCGTACATCGAAATGGGATAACGGATCACCTAAAAGACAATCGAGACATGACCGCAGGTCACGTCATGAGGAAAGATCTTCCCGTGTCTCTAGAGATGAGGCTGACAGATACCGTAGAAAAGATAGACATTCTCCGGAGCATTCTTCAAGACGAAGTCGCAGTCGTAGTAACAGAGAAGAGAGAGTGTCCTCAAGGCAGAGAGATCGGCACCATCATAGAAGTACATCAAGACATAGAAGTAGGAGAGATAGGCACTCAACAAGGTCACACTCATCTCGAAGTGGAAAATCTGTACAACCTAAAAATGACAAATCCTGTCAGAGAGACCAGTCACCGTCAAGGCAGAGAGCTGAATCAGTACAACAGACACAAAGTATAAACCAGACAGCATCTGGGCCACCTAAAAGTCAGGGTGATGCATCACAAAATGAGGCTTCTGAGGATGGAGAACAGAACCTGTCAGAAGTGCCAAAGGAAGGTTTTACAAAAACTGAAAATGCTCAGCCCTTAAGGTGGCAATCGTCTGACCCACCTGGTGCTACGTTTTCTCAAAATTACAAGTTTTCTCAAAGTAATGAAAATAAACCTGCATCAGGGTCTCTCTTAGCGCAAAGGGACCATCCAGATAAAGATTTTAAAGCAAGGTATCAAAACAGAGATAAGCTGGATGTACAGAAAGATAACTTTGATCAGAAGCATCCTTCAGAATTGCCTCCACAGATGGACAAAAGTACTTTCTTAACTTCTCAGGCAGAGTCACTGTCTTTTCAGAGTGGTGATGTGTCACAAGTTGAACCTGACCAGTGTAATGAAAATGAAGCTCCTCATCCCTTTGGGAAAAATCGATTGCGCAGAGATGATTTCCCAGAGGATGAGTCAGATCAGTTCCATTACAGAAACCAGCCTCGATCTGAGCACTCCTTAATGCTGCAAAGTAAGGATGAACAGGTCCACAACATCCAAGATCAGAGAAGTAACATTGTACATGATGAGACTGCTTTCGGTTGTCAGAGAGAAGAACAGTCATTTAGCTCACTACATTTGCAAAGGGACCATTCTTCTGGCCATGAGGCTGATCACAGAAGGCAACTGCCTCAAAAGACACTTCAAATACAAAGGGAAGAATCCTCAGATTATGATAAACCTTATTCCAGAAAATCATTGTCTGGACATCATAAAATGCAGAGCGGACATTTTTCAAATAGTGACCCTGATCAGTGTTTTAACAGAGATGAATCTGGAATGCATCCATCTCTTGGCCACAGAAATAACTTTCCACAGGATGAGACTCGCCAGATAGATCATAATAAAAATTTACCGTTAATGCAAAGGCATAATTTTGCACAAGATGCAGTCAACCAATTGAAAGAGAGGAACACCCCCCAGAGGCCACCTCAGATACAAAGAAGAGACTTTACACTAGATCAGGCTTGCCATAACTTCTCTGACGGTCAAAATTATGCAGATGAAACTGATGATTCAAATAGAGAGAGATATTCAGGTAATTTTCCTGTTGAGGAGATGGAGTCAGGCCACCAGCGAGGTCTACCACACAGGCTGCCTCGCGTACAAAAAAATGATTTCCATGGACCTGCAGTTGAACAGAGAGATTTCAAAAAGCCACCCAAGACGCCATCCCAGAATCAGCAAGGCAGTTTTTCAGTGGATGAGGACGAACAGTTGCACATTCATGAACCACAAGGGGCTCACTCAATGATGAGAGGTAATCTACCAAAGTGTGACCCTGACATACCCAGAAACTTCTATCCTAGAGATCAATTTCGACTACGAGTACCTGGTGATGCATGGAGAAGCCCACAGCAAAGGAATCCTGGTCCAAGAGGACCACCCTCACTGATGATGCCAAGATGTCCTACAGTAGTTGTGAGGCCTAGGATGCCCAGAGCTCCTCACCCTCAGGGGTTTGAGAACTGTGGACCTGGTCCAAACTTTGGTCCAAGGGGTATGTATCCAAGAGTAAGGACATTTGATGATGCTGGACCATCTCCAAACTATGGACCAAGGGGCCCATCTTCTGGACCAGGAATCACTGAGGGATCTGAGCCTCAAACCTTTAGACCAAGAGGCTCAAACCCAGAGGACAATTCACCTCAGAACTTTGGATTTAAGGGCCAATTCCCAGGACCTGGGAATGGACCTCGGAATTTTGGGCCGAGGGGCTCATTTTCTGGCCCTGGTCCAAGACCAGGGCTGTGTCGTTCTCAGCATGTTATGGATGGACCCAATGGTCCATTCCAGCCAAATCATGAAAAACCAAGAGGCCCATTTAACGTCAGAGGACCACCTCACCCTGACTCCAGACAGCATGGTGCACCTCAACAATTTGACAGAGAAACATGTGATTCTGAATCAGACTTTAGAGGGCATGCTCCACCGCAACAGTTTGACCACAGAGACTCACGGCCACCAGGTTTTCATGGTTCTAGAGATGGCACTTCAACCCATCCGTTTGATGAAGAAGAAATTGACAACAGAGGTTTTTTACAGCAACATACTAATGAGACAAGAAGGTCTGCTCCACCTCAGCATTCAGATGAATCAAACAGTCATTACCAGAATTCTGCCAATGAAAGTTTTTCAAATTCGCTAGAACCAAGATCTTGCATGCGAGGTCGGAGTCGAGCGCAACCTGGGAGCCTTCCAAACAACCAGTCTGAAGAACCTCAATTTCCAGAAATGGAATCAGGCATGAGAGCACCTCAGCAGTTCAGTGAGTCTGGAGAACAAGGAGTACACAAGGATTTGGGCAAACCACATTTTGCAAAGTCTAATATCTGTGAGAGTGTTGGAAACCCTGAAAGCGATGTTCAAATGAAAGGCCCACGCTTTCACTCACTTCAGAATTTCAGGGGTCAAAGGGCTCCGTCTCCACGTTTTCATGGCCAGCGAATGCCTGCACTCTGGAACAAAGAGTTGGAGGACAGGCCATATTCATCCCGTTTTCCAAGAAAGATTTCCCCAACCTTAACACATTTACAAAGACCACAAGGGCCAACAGCAGGTGAGATTCAAAGCCTGCCACCACAGGTTCGGTTTGATGGTCCGCCAAAAGAGCCAGATATTCGCCCTTTGCGGCTGTCGGGCCCTTTGCTCCCGACACCCCCTGGTGGCCCAATTAGGTTGCCCAACCCTAGGATGCAGAGGCCTTACCAAGAACACAACCGACCACAAGGTCCTCCTACCAGAGCGCATAGTGCAGGGCCAAAACCTGGCCACTGTGATGATAATTCCAGCCGTCTGCAAAGAGAAACTTCTAAGGGTCTCATTCAGGTGAGACAAAGAGAAGAGCTTGGAAACGAAGAGGAAGACAGCAGTAGTCAGGACAGTAGTCCTGTAAAAGCTGGAAAGTCATGGCGAAGGAGGACGAGAAAAAGAGAGGGCAGAAATAGAGCAGCAAGAAGGCAGAGAAATAGAGAACGCAGAGAGGGTGTTTGTGAAACAGTGAGGGACAAAAACACACAGAGGAACACAGATAACGATCAAAAAGCTTAATTGATGGAGGGGGGCCTAGATCACGGATCCCAATTTAAACTGAGACATGATCGCTTGAAACTGATTGTAGTTAAGGAGCCGAAATTCTGCTTATTTAAGACAGTAAAACTATGGAAGAAGGAAAACAATACAAATTAACTGAGGCTTCAAATGAAAGGTCAATATGTGCAAGCAAGACCATTTTCTCAATAAGTATATGAATGAAGTGTTGGCAATATGTCACTTTAATGGTTCCTGTATTTCACTTATTTTTTTAAGAAAATGTTTTCAGTGATAAAGGTTTGAAAAGCTTTGGAGGTTTTTTTTCTTATCAGTCTAAAAAATGTAGTTTGACAGCACTGCTTTGCCAGGTCAAATATGTATTAAGTGTTTTAACGTTTTCATAGTGAAGACATTTTTGTATGTGGCAACGTCAAACAATTACATTCTCTTTGGGGGGAAAAAACACTGGTTTGTTCTTGCTGAGTTATTTTTAGATGTATCTTTCACTTTGAAGCTGAATGATGTTCCCGAGAGTTGTAAATTCTGGTGTACATTTGAGTTCATACATGTTTTATAAGATGTTTTCTACAGATGCCTTACAAGCCATAGTGATAAGCTGTTAATCTCAGTTGAAGGGAACAAATCTAGTAGAGATTTCATCATTAAATAATGAAATGATAAAACTTGTCTTTGCTCTTTTCCTTTCACATATTAACCTTTGCTGAATTAAAATCTGGGTGCCATATCTTACATTTTCCTGTATTACATATATTTATCTCCTGAGGTCCACTTGTGGTGTCTGTGTGGGTTGATGCACATTTTTTGCATTTTTACATGACCATCTTTAGCCTTGGTATTAGTCGGCTTTTATTACGGTGCCTTTAAGGCAGATATATGTAAATGGACTCTGTACTGATTGGCTGCTCTGCCTTTTTAAAAAGCAGTCCAGCTGAAACACTCCTTATAACTTAAGCATGAATGGGCGGAACTAAATCACTGTGGGCTGAATTGGTGGGTGTATGTAATGCATCACAAAAGTGGTGCATTAAAAACACATTTGTACCTTTGACCTTAGTTTCCGTAAGTGTACTGTATGGATTTGGTTGTGGACTGAAATTGGATCAAGATCAAAACAGCCATAACTGGGTGTCTTTGTAAATGATTCCATGCCAGCATTACAGCTCAGAACAAACCATTATTGATGGACTCTATTGAGGCTTGCCATACCCCAAGGCTATTTTAAATAACCCTGGGCTGGAAAAAGTGGCCCTACGGATGATGGACATAACTTGGGATGTTTTATTTAGACAGTTTAAAAAAATGTGTATATATATAGTAACTGTACAGGAGGGGGCAAAAATGTACTTTTAGCTATTGTAAAGAGATTTTACTCCAAGCAATTTTGGATTTGTGAACTTGTGAAATTTTCATACTGTGGAACTGAAAAAAAAATTGAAATACATATTCTTTCTGTGGAAATATATGTAAATATGTAAACACACACCATTAAATTCACAGGGTGAATTTGGTAGACAGATCTGGCAACCCAGATCCAGTGAGAGGAGCGGCGATTTTCTCCATTGTCTGAGGAACGTTTTCTTCCAGATACGCTTTCTCAGGTAGTTATGTTCTTTTCTGAGAGCAATTTATGTCTGAGTTAACGTAAGGTGTCCTCTTAGTCTTAAATATTTTGCGATGTTAGCTAGCCGGTTAACCACGACTTTAGCCTCGAAGCTTATTCTACAGCTTTTTTGTTAGAATTTCCCCGTTCCACCTTAAATGGTACAGCAGTTCCGTTCTGGCGCCTGAGGCGGAATGGAACTCGTGCACCATTTAAGGTGGGACCGGACAATTCGAACCAGAAGCTGGCGAATAGGAAGCCGACTTTAACCTTGTAGGTAGTCAAAGTTGGTTTTAAAAAACATTCCAGATATTGTTGTAAAATGTACGAATTGGTGAGTAAATTTTAAATATCAGAGAAAAGTGACGAACCGACTAAGGTTATGTTATAAAGCGTTTCTGACTAAATTTCTGACGCTGACGGGATTCGTTAGCCGGTTAGCTAATCTTACGTTATATTTCGAGGACACAAAAAGCGGTTACATTAAGCTATAACAGTTTATAACGCTTATCTCAAAGCCGTACGCTTCTCTTCAAATTATAGAATCATGTTTTTGTCCGTAGACAGTATTTATGAGCAAAAATATGTAACACATTAAGCACTTTTTCACGTTAAGCACTTTAGAATGTCTTCAAAACGTAGAGCGGGAAAACTAGCTTAGTGATTGGGAGTCGGTTCCAAAAGAATCGATTCTGCAGCTCCAATACGTCTGGGAGTCGGAGTCGACTCTTGACCAATGACTCTAAGAGTCGAAATGCTAGGAGTCGACTCTTTGACTTTATCGGCTCCGTGTTTTTTCACTGTAATTGGTGTGATGATTTTGATGGGGCGAGTGTAACACATGGAAGATTATGAGTTTGAGTAATGTGAGTTTGTTTAATTACCAGCTTAAACAATGCCAGCCGCTGTAAGCACAAACTGTGCTCACGAAACATTCAATACGTCCTGCACCGGACCCCACTCAGGGTTGGGATGTAACAAAATACAAGTATTGGGAATATGTGTTCAGAACACAGGAATTTAGTCCAAGTTGCATTTTTGTAAAGGCAGAATACAGTTACTTCTTACATTTTAGGAGAATACTTTGAGTACTCACCCACTAAATAAAAATAAATCTTAAAAAAGAAATACCATAAATGATTGCTTATTAACTATTTTAAAATCAGTACATGCCATGTAGCAAACATGCTCATTAAGTGAACTCTAAAGAGGAGTTCAGAGTGGTTTGTTGAGAAATGGTGCACTATATAGAAACTTAGTCAACTCAAATAGTCAATTCTGATTTTCTTTGCAATGGTGATAACAGGAATCTGTGTCTTGGGATATGCCTCAATATGTCTCAGTGTTAGTGGGATATATGTCTTCACAGCCTTTGATTTAATATCCAGAACGATCAGTGAACCTGCAGGTGTCGTCTAAGTTTTTATATGTAATGTTGATGATGATAAAAAAGTGGTAAATCAGAAAAAAAATAATTTTGGGGGGGGCTGTTTTGTTTCACAATGCCCTCGCCACCATTTAATGTATTTTAAAAATACTTTTTAGGCCAAAACCTATTCAAAGAGATTGTAACACAATGTCTCAGACATCAGGCAGTGTATTCATAGCCTTTTCATGTAATTGCTTTCTGTGAGGGAGCTTTTAGAGCTGGACATCTGGTTCCTATCACCACCACTGTGAACAATTCTGGCTCTGTCATTTTCTCCAAAGTGGTGCATTTCACACTAATCTACCTTTTAAGACTTATATATGTAAATCTGTTTTGATTGACTGAAGCTCTCCTTATAACTTAAGCATGCGTGGGTGGAGGTAAACTGAGTTGGTTTCTGTGACATCACAAAAACAGTGACTTTGTTTATATTTATTGACTGTATGGACTGGGGAGTGTTTAAATACCACAAACTCTTTTACATCAAAAAGTGAGCAAAATGTTATTTCCTGAGTTATAAGCGCTTTAAGTAGTTCTAGTGTGAGAATCTTTTGCATTATTTAAAGGTTCTGTACCGATTAAAGATTTTTCCTTGAGTCCTCAAAGGTAGGAACTGTTTAGGGACCTTTCTTAGTTAATTATTTGAAGACAATTGTATTTGCAATTAGAGATACTTGACAATACTTGCTAACGGTGTTTTAGGCAGCTAGTTAGCTCTCAGTTTTCTGACTGTAGTGTTTTGCTACCAGTTTTCTCTGCTCTGTTTAAGAATGACCACTTCAGTTGCACACAAGACTCTACATGTAGCACCTGCTGTGGGCCAGTTCTTATCTGATCCGGTCAGCGTCGTTGTGAGTCAGAACGGGTGTGATCAAGGCCCAACTGTGAGCTCTGAGTTTAACCTGACGGAAATGACCGAGGTGGAGTACTCTCACCTTCAGCACATCCTTCATGCCCACATGGAGGCGCAGACTGTAGGGCAGGAGGAGCTGGTGGAAATCAGCCCATGCAGAAAAGTAATGTTTTGAAATTATATTGCAGTATATTCTGTGTATATTTTGGATTATACACTTGCCAGTTTATTACAAGGTGTGGTAACACTTTAGCTCTGCTACATAACATTGGCAAAACCATGGCATAAACATGTCATTGAAAATGTCATATGCTTTCATAAGTTATAATAGTGTCCTGTTGTCATGTTACCATTACCAGTAACTGTCACTGTCACAACCTCAAACGCTATGAGATCTGTACTGACAATTACCAGTAACATTACACTGTCATCTTACTAAGCAAAGTCTGACAACTACACTGCACTGGGGTGTTTGGATCTTTTTTAGCTAAGCTAAGTTAGCTAGGAGAGGGGACATGGGTAGCATTAACTTAGCTAGGGGGCTCGAGCTTTAGATACCAGAGAAAAGGTTTGCTTTCGGCTTTCTGTTCTTCTAATGTCAGCCACTTCACTTCACGTCCTCAAATTTGAGTCATTGTCTTCTAAATTTGTGTCAGTAAAGCTTTTGTGAAACACAGTTTGATATGGAACGCTTAAAACCAGGCTCAGCTCATTTTTTCGGCACTCTTAGCTAACCGTTAGCCAGAATCAAACCTGACCTTCAGCACTGCAGTGGAAAAGAGGCCTTTGAGTCAAATGAACAAATGACTGAAATTACAGTATTTCAATATCCACAAAACAAGTTGCATTTTCACCAGAGATTTTTTTGTACACATGCAGAGTAGTGCTGGTTTAACAAGCTCTCGCTATGCTGTCATTTTGTATTCTCATAAACTTTATTTGATGTTTGTGCAGCTGTTTTAGGGTATTATTGGTTTGAGCCAAAGTAACTAGCAACACGCTGTTGCTTGTAAAAATGACATTGAGAACACTACATGTATGCACTATGTACTATGTAGTTGTTCTTCTAAATACAGTATTGTAATATCTTGATAAACCATAATAAAAATTAAAATTATCACAATATTATGTCAAGAGTGTAGTTACAAAACAGTTGTGCTTAATAAATTGGCAACTCTGTGTACTGACATTATGTAACAATATAATTTATTTTCACAGGAGGCATTAAATCAGCCAAGTTACACTGAGTGCAGCCTTACTAGCCACCCCAAGAGTGAAAGTAACAGCACAGCCTGCTCACCCTCATCTACCCCAGCCGTGTGCCAGCCCGTCGCATCGTCCACATTATATACAGATGAGCCGTACACCTTTTCTAACTCTAACCATTTAGAAACAGAGGACGTTCAGGAAATTAAAATGATTCTGTGCAGCGATCAGGGTAGCATCGTCACTGAGGGGGAAAAGACACCAACGTGCTGTGTGGAGGTGCCAAACTCTGTGCTAGCAAAGGTGAAATATGCCAAGGATCGCAGTGTGGACTCTTCTGACCGCAGAGCAGTACCTCAACATCTCAGACCCAACCCACCTGCACGTGTGTGCCTGGAGAAGAGGTTCAATTGCAGCCCTGGCGACAAAAACAGACAGCAGGAATCACAGGCGGCAGTTCTGAATACGTATGTTCTCTCTGTATTTTTATACTGGTTAAAGTACATCTTTACTGCCAAAAAATATGTGGACACCTATATGAGCTCGTTGGACATCTCATTCTAAAATCCTGGTCATTAATATGGCGTTGGCTCTCTTTTACGGCTGTAACAGCCTCCACTCTTCTGGGAAGGCTTTCCACAAGATTTTGGAGTGTGTCTGTGGGAATTTGTTCCCATTCTGATCCGGCTGTTCGCATTGCCCCATATCGGATATGTATCGGATTTTAGTACCACATATGAAAGCGTCTCAAATCGGAATTGAAAATGTCAGATTCAGTGTGTTTTTTGCTGTTCACACTGACACACAGATAACATAGTCACATGAAGGAAAGCAGATTGGATTTGGGCCACTTTTACCTGCTGTAAGAACATAGCCAAAATTGTCTAAAATGTCTTAAATAATAATAGCAATATTTAATAATAATATTGCCCTTCACTGGAGCCAAGGGGCCTATCCCAGAACGTTAAAAACAGCCCCAGCTCATTATCCCTCCTCAGCCAAACTTTACTGTTGGCACTATGCAGTTCGGTAGGTCACGTTCTACTGGCATCTGTTAAACCCAGATTTGTCCATCAGACTGCTAGATAGTAAAGCGTGATTCATCACTCCAGAGCACGTTTCCACTGTTCCAGAGTCCAGTGGCAGTGCTTTACACCACTCCAGTCGATGCTTGGCATTGCGCATAGTGATGTTAGGCTTGTGTCCAGCTGTGAAGAGAACTTTTTTTTTTGATTTGTTGCTGTTTTACTATCATCAACATAACATACAAAAATTCAGAAGGCACATGTAGGTTTACTTGGTGTTTTGCATTTGTAAAGATGGTAGACTGAACCAGACACTTGGAGACAAGGCTTGAGTTAAGAACTTTAATGCCAAAGGGTTGATCCACAATCACAGTCAAAAAACAGAAGCAAAAAATAAAAAAAAAAAACAGCAATCTAAAACTGAGCAAAGGGGCAAGGCAAAAATCAAGGTCATAAACGAGATACAGGTCATACACAAACAGGAGATAACAGACATCGGAAGAACGCTCAGTGCGCTCAACAGGGAGATGATACTTCGCATTACAACCAAGCAGACTATATACAGAGAAAAACAGATGTGTGTGTGATTATAAGTCCGGTAATGCAGAGCGTTGATAGGTGGATCGGTTAGAGTCCTGAGTCATGTGATGAAGCGAGGGGTTCTGTGAACTGTAGTCTAAGGTGGCCACGTTGGCTGTAGTTTCAGCCGCGCCAGAGGGAGGCGTGACAGCATTGTAAATAAAATGGCCATATAACAAAGACAAACAAAAAAAGATCATATCACCCCTGTTTTGAAAGAACTGCACTGGCTACCTGTATCGCTCAGAATGGATTTTAAAATTCTGCTTCTAGTTTTTAAGGCTCTAAATGACATTAAAGCACCTCTGTAGCACCTCACAGAATGTCTGTGTGTTCCAGCATGTGATCTTAGATCTGCAGATACTGGCCTTCTGCAAACAGCTTCTGTAAAATACAGAAAACGTGAAGAGGCGTCTTTCAGTTATTATGCTTCTAAACTGTGGAACTCCATTCCACCTTCTATTAGAATTCTATTGGAGTTCACACATTTAAGAAACATTTTAAAACTTAAAACTAAGTTTATCTTGTAAACAGTGTTTAATTAAAACTCTGTGTCTCTTTGGTATTTCTTTTTAACTTCATCTGTCGTTGTCTTGTCTATTACTGTAAAACATTATCACCTGTCTGTAAAACACTTTGAGCTGCCACTGGTATGAAAAGTGCTTGGTAATTTAAATCTAATATTATTATTATTATTATTAGTAGTAGTAGTAGTAGTAGTGTAGTGCTAGTAGAAGTATTAATAGTGGTAGTAGTAGTATATTTGTGTTGTATACATGACTCTGTTTACATCTCAGCCAATACTATCGCTTTATAAACAAAACCCAGAGGAAAACTCTTTTATGGCTCAGACAGCTTATTGGTGATTCTCAAGAGAAATAGCATTAGATAGATGAGAGACCTCTGGCCCAGATAAAAACAGTTATTCATAGCTTGAAAACTGAGAAGGGGCTCTTAGTCTTAGATGAGAAATGGCTGAGATTCTGGTAACATTTCAGTTCAGGGCAGCATTCATAAGCATACATAAGCCTCTCATGACAACTGATAAATACTTACATAAATGTTTAGAGAGGCTTATTTTAACAAACTGTGGTTGTCATAACAAAATCTAGGGTGGAATAAGCTTTTATAAATAGTATGTTTATATCAGTATATGTCTGAGAAACTCAAGTGGAGACACATGGGATTATTGTGCTGTTTTTCTGAGGAGAAATGTCTGAGTAGCAGAAGAGACTTAAACAAAGTCTTCTTTGTCCTTCCATCTGATTGTGTTTTTTTTAATTGTCTTATGGGAAGATGTTTAGCATAATGAGAAAAGGTTCTGTCTTTAACGTGATTTGTGTCTGAGTCAACACATATTCTTCTTGCGTTTTTCAGATTTTTGTCGATGCTTCATCATTCTACGGATGCGCAAGGCATCGCACTGGTTTCCCAGTCGGAAAACTGGCCCAAGACAGATAAGATGGCTGCAGTAGAGTGTACCTTTCCTGGGACTTTCTTGAATACTCATGTTCAGGTATTCAAGAATGACTGAATTTATAACTGTATTTATGTAGGAGAGTAAAAAGGTATCGATTGCTCTCAAGTGTGGCAGCTGTCTAAGGGAACTTTCACACCTATGTTGTTCAGTGCAGACCAATTGAATGTTTTCTTTTGTTTGATCATACGATTTTGGGAGACCTAGCTAGTGGTAGGAACTCGGCACAACTAAATAGAGAATAAAGTGCTACTCCCCCTTTGGATTAATGTCTTTATGTGAGTGTAAATTCTTATAAAAGTGTAATTTCTGGAGAATTACAAAGAGCTGATATAAATGAATGGCTGTTCTAATGACAGTGTAAGAAATTTATAATAATATATTTATTTAATTAATATTATTTTTCAAATTGAATTGAGGTCGTTTTCAAGTGTAAATATCAAAAGCAAAATAAAACTGTCTACATTCAAGTACTGTGTAAAATAGTTCCCCCAGTCACATTTGTGTACTTGCTGTATTTTCAGAAGAAATTCTGAATTGTACCAAAATCATTTAATTAAATTGTGAAATTTGCAATGTGTTGATGCGTTGAATGTTTTTTATAAGAACTGTAATGGAATCAAATCATTTGGTTAGAGATTCTAGAGATAGAGATTTAAACCTTGAATGTGTAGATGTGTTTTTATCACTATTTCTGGCTTGTGATTAACTTTCATTACATCTCAGGGTCTTAGTCATCTGTTGGAGGGCAGCAAACATCCTGAGGTAATCCTTCCCAAGAACTTCACCTTCAGTTACAGACCAGACAAAACGACTGAAGTTTTGTTGAGGGCTCCATACATCATCCATGCCGACGAAGCTGAGGAACAAAGGGGCATCAAACTGGAACGTAGGTGTTATTTTTACAACCCCAGTTCCAAAAAAGTTGGAAAATGTAAATAATTGTGAATAAAAACAGAATGCAATGATGTGCAAATCTCATAGACACGTTTTATTCACTTTAGAACATAGAGCACATATCAGATGTTGAAAGTGAGACATTTTACCATTTCGTGAAAAGTATTAACTCATTTAGAACTCGATGGCAGCAACACATCTCAAAAAAGTTGGGAAAGTGTTGTTCTACCGCTATTTACTGTTCAGGATTGATAGTGCCTTTCCAGATGTGTAAGCAACCCACGCCATAGGCACTAATGCAACTCCATACCATCAGAGATGCAGGCTTTTGAACTGGTGGTTCCAGGTGGTTGTTAGGAGTCTCATTTATTCTGTAGCTTCTAATCGTTTTTTGAAAATTCCTGGTTTTTCCTTTTCTTTCCTTTCTCCTTCATTATGCAAGTGGATTATCTTATATTTAATCTCTAAAATATCTCTTTACATTTTTAAAACTTGTGTGTAATGGCTGAATAAAAATGAAATAAATTAAGGGTCTCTGAGCTTTGCACGGTACAGTATGTTGGAATTTCTCTTTTTCTCTTTTCTTGCTCACCTGTGTTGTCTTAAATTGTACATATACTGCTGTAGACAGTTCCCACCAGGGAGTAATGAAGTGGTATAAATTTTTTATCCCTCTGTTGTGAAAAAGGTGAAGCAGAGGAGAAATCTGATCCTCCAGCTAAGCGTTCCAGGAAGTGTGTACCCAGGGCTCTGCAGGTACAAGCCCCCAATATCATCCACGGTCCAGGAAACTGGAAGGAAGGCTGTGTGGTGCCAGGCTGTCAGCATAGTAAAAGAGCAGGACCTCCTCTAGAGATCAAACAACAAAGGGAGAGACACAACAGCAAGGAAAGAGACCGCAGGTAGTGTATTGGAGCGGGATTTGATTCAGATTGATCACCCACTGCTGTTTTATTCCAAATTTATTCCATGATCCAACCTCTAAAGATCCTGTTTATCTCTGAAAATAAATAGTCAGAAATTTCCAGATTCCAATGTAGCTGTTTTTTAGGTTTTCTTTGTTTGTTAGAAGAAAAGCAGCCAAAAAAGAAATACTGAAAATTGTCTCATTATGTGTTAGTGATAGTTTGACATTGCAAAAAATTCTCCTTGAATGCAGTCGATCAGCCAAGACACATTTGTTTGTTTTTTCTAATATCGATAAGTAATGGAAGCTTAGATTAGCATTATGCAGACTGTATGCTTACAACTTATATATAATGTTAATGATGGTGATGGTGAAACAGTGATAAATCTAAAGAAAAAAAAATCCTTCCGGGATTATTTTGCCCCGCAGCGCACTGCATGGACCCTTTCACCAGCAATACATTTTCAAAGCTATATTTTAGGCCACAGCCCTCTCAGAACTATCCTAAAACAGTGTCCCAGACACTGGGCAGCATATTCATAACCATGTGATGTAATAACTTTCTGTGAGGGAGCTTTTAGATGCATAAAATGTGGCACCTGGTTCCTATCACCACCACTGTTCTGACAGAGCATTTCTGTACATCATATCCACTAAATTTTGCAGAAATGTTTATAAGTTGGTAGAATTTTCACAGATTCCTCGAACAGAAAATTACCTCTCGACCTCTTGAACGAAATTGTTTATCTCTCCGGTATATTTACTCACCATTTGTATGTACTGTACTAAATATTGAACGTGCGTTGATCTGCAGGAGAAGAATCCGCCTGTGCTGTGATGAGCTGAATCTGTTGGTGCCCTTCTGCACTGCTGAAACCGACAAAGCCACGACCCTGCAGTGGACTACAGCCTTTCTCAAATATATCAGAGAGCTCCATGGAGACTCCCTCAAACAGGTGCAGAACTTACATGAGACAAATAATATCTGGTCTGTTGATCTCTGTTATTTTAGGTTGTTATCTAAAATTATTCGTTATCTTTGTTTCATTTCATACATTAAACTTGCCTTAGGATTGCACATTGTTATAGTATAGTAAACCACTGGCCACTTTATCAGAAACCGCTTTTTAGTAAGCTCCATCTTGCTGGATTACAGTTAGAGACTGCAGCTCGTTTGTTGATACTCTGTTTGTATTAGCCATCATCTAGCGTTGAGGTCGGCAACCCAATTGTTAAGAAGAGCCATTTTATCCTTTCCACAAAAACTAATCCACCTTGGGAGCTGCAACATTTTATGTCATCTTTTACCATCTTGACTGTAAATATGTCTCAGTATGTACTAGTACAGGCTAAAAATGTAATATAAACAAAAATGCAGACTTACTTTGCTCCTTTTTAAGCTTTAGCTCAGCTATAGCTGCTTTTTCTTGCATCTCTGGCAGAAATGTTTCCACAAAAGTAGAATAGTTGCTTGTAAAATGTCTCTCAATGTTTGTTCTTTTACAAGGCTGAAGGTAGCTTCTCATTCGCCAGCTTCTTGTTTAAATTGTCCCGTTCCACCTTAAATGGTGCCTGAGGTGCCAGAATGTAACTGCTGCACCTTCTGAGATGGAGCAGGAAAATTCAAATGAGCTGGTGAATGAGAAGCTGACTTCCCCTTGCGACATTTTAGTGTTTGAAACTGGGGTGATTATAAACACAAATGGTCTCCAAATTATCGATGTTCGTCTTAAATCTCTCTCTTTGTCGATTCATTAGCTGCTAGCTATGCGAGATTGTTGTCTGCGTTGCTGTGGTGACCAGCAGTCTGCGCGCCAATCTTCAGGGTTAAAGGGTGAATTAGCAGTTATAGATTAGGTCCAGCGTTTAAGACCATTTATTGTTTTAACTGTGTCAGAATGATCAGCAGAGCTTTATTTTACTGCAAAGAAGGATTATTTTATTTTTACCTACAAATCGAATTCTGCTGTGGAGCCACAACAGGGCAGTAAGAGAGCCTCATGTTGCCGACCCCTGATCAGTGGTGATTTTCTGACCACAGATCCACTATTAGCTGGATATTGTTGGTTAGCGGACTATTTTAAACCTACAACTCATATTGAGGAGGGTAAAAACTCCAGCAACACTGCTCCTGATGGACTTTGTGATGAAATGGTCAACTACCCAGATAATGTCTAGTCAGCGGTGGTCATATGGTGGTCCATTTTTATTGCTGAAGGGGGTGGATGGGGGCTGATGAATTGTTGGCTACAGTCTAGAATTGTACACCTACAAAGTGCACTTATATGGCAGATAACCAATTAGTGCAAGTACAGTGTAGATCATTGTACACTCTTTAAAATGACAGCTGTTCAAGGATAGCTGTTAAGTTCTTTATAGAACCATGAACACTTAAAGAACCCTTTGTCTGCTTAAAGGGTTAAAGGAGAGTGTGCTGTAGATGGTTCTGTATAGAACCTTTTTGAAAAGCATTCTATATAGTACCAAAAAGGGTTCTTCTATTGTTATGATGTCAAGCCTGTAAGAATAGAAGAACCCTCTTCAAGGTTCTATGTAGAACCATATAAAACATATTCTCCAAAATCTGAAGAGAACCCTTTCAAGATGCAAAGAACCATTTAATCATGCAAAGCGTTCTTTGAGTGTTCATGGTTCTATATAGATACTGTATTAAAATGCCTCTTCTACTTTAGGACTTTCAGAACACGTTCTGTGGTAAGACAGGAGTTCGGCTGAAGCCCAGCAGTGCTACAGCAGTGAGGGACGTCGCTGAGAGTAAGATTTAATCTCATCTCAGCTCAGTTCTGCATAGTAATGACTTTCGCTCAAATCAGTTGGTCAGATTTAAGATATTGTGTGGGGCTTTTTGCAACCACATAGTGACCCCTTATTTATTGACAATAGTCTGTTGGTTCCTAATTTATTTACAATATTAGTAATTTATTTTGTAAACAAGTAGGGAATGTCCATGAAAACATCACCTGAACCCTGTATTTTTGAGTACTAAGAACAAAAACTTTTGTCCCTGTTTCTATTTCTGTTTAAGAATGACCACTTTTCTATAACTCAGTAATATCTTATGTATAAAAAGTCATATCTATACTCCATGTTATCTGTAGTTTAGTGTAGTTTTACAAATTTCATGAACAAATTCCCCTCATAATACAGGGAGAATAGAATTGCTTCCATTGGGTTTTTTATAGTATTGTAACACTCCCGTGGTTCCAATTGATCAGGTTCCACAATAAATGAGCAGTCATTTATACAACCCTTTACACAATTGTGAACAAACTGTGCTACTGAACTGACCAAAACTGTTACGCAGAAATTAATCTACAGATGGCACTGTTTCTCCACATCTAAGAAACAGCAGAGTTTCAAGCATCGTCATATAGTTAGTCTTTTAAAATCGCATTTGCATTTTAATTTACGTATTGGAGCTTTACCTCATTTGTGTTTCATTATGGTTTTAACAAGTCTGCTTTATTTACATCTATTTAGGACAAACTTGTGTTGTGTGTGCTCATATTTATGAATATAAAGCAGGTTGATTGTGTATTTCTGTATGCATCATTTCTCCTATGTTTGCTGGTTTGAATAAATGTTTACGTTACATACATAAACCTTTTAGGTGAATGGCTAATGGACTTGACGTCTAAAAGAGGAATAACATTTCACTGAAAAGTGGCTTTATTCAATATTTCTTACAACACGGTGCTGTAGCGTCTCACTGTACATACAACAGTCACCCACAAATAATAAATAGTATTTAAAGTCATGTATATTTAATAGTTACAGCACCAGCACATAGTGGATGTGGTGGAAATTCCAGACAAAGAGTTATTGTACAGTAACAGTCCTTCAAGCATCTGAAAGGATGCTTTCAGTTTTCTTTTATTATTTTATTTTTTCAAGTTGGGATCTGTCATCAAACACATTCAAGAAAGTAAAAAATGACCGAATAAAAAGATGTTGACAATTTGCATAAAAAAACAACAACTTGGAAAATACTATTGGTGCAGTAATATACAAAATATTTCAACACATTTTCATACCTTATTATACTGAGTGATGCTCCCAGGTTGCTTTGTATGATTTTTGGCAGATTTTGAGGTACAAAATCCTCTCTTTCAGGCAGAAAGGACCATGATGCATGAGGCATCTCACTGCTGAGCCTCATTTTTCTTTTGTTATGCTGTCAAGACAATCACAGTTGTTGCTATACAGGAGTCCGAACAAAAGGACATTAAGCTAGAATGGACATTGAGGACAGTAAGAAGTAAGAAACCGTTTTTACACACGCATGTACAAAGTATATGGTTTTGACTGGCCAGTTTTCACCATTTCAGTAAGCAATTTTTAGTCTTTTTACTTTTTTACACATCTACACATAATGGTACTTGTTTGTACTTTTCGCACTGCCTTGCTCTTTTGATTTGTCTTTGATGAAGTCTTGGCTTGAAGTCTTTCAGCTCACTCGTTCCTGCTCATCCCAACAATTGCATAGTTCTTAAAACACTGTTGATGTTCCATCATCTTTTGATTTCTCACATCCACTGATATTTCTCATATGCTTTTTCTTACCCCCAAACATTTTAAAAGGGAATTCTGTGGTTCATCTTATTCCCCTTGATTTCTTGCTCTTTCTTCTCTCCTTGGGGTGCAACTGTGTTTTTAAAGAGGAAGCCATCTTTGTTTAATGATTCTTGGGATTGGAGGACTTCCCGTGGACCGCTGCGCCCTGGCAGGCTGTTGTATCGCAGATTCCTGGGGGTCCCTGGTGCCCTGTCCTGCCTGGCCTGCCAGGTTCTCCTGGCTCACCTGGATCTCCAGGTGCACCATCACGTCCATCTTTAACAATGCCGTGTACTCCTTGGAGACCTAGCAGATAAAGAGTGGGTGAATGAGACCCTTCTGAAGTACTCTGAATTACTTTAAAATTGGCAAATTAGACTTTTTAAAGGAAAATTATTACTTGTGTACTATATTCGCCTTTGGTTTAGAAGACGCAGCATAGATGTAACCTCACTTCCTGAAGTGCTGCCATACTGCATTTACTAAATGCATCTAAATATTTATTTTTGACTGGAAAAAGTCAACTATTCGGGAAGCCATAACATGAACGACCACATGCCAAAATCTTTCCATGGGGCAAAAGTACTACTGGAGCTTAATTCATTTTACCAGAGGAGGCTGTGTAAGGTCATGTGTGACTGGCTGACTGGTTCAGCTTAGTTTCCTGAACCAGATTCCCACAAGTAGCGTGTATTTAATGGTTATAGCCGGCATAATCACATCAGTGACAATAACAAGGTGCATGCACAAGTTTGTTAGCCGGTTTCGTTATTCCTTTAGCACAAGATAGACTGGAAAAGGACTACTATTACAGCTGGGGCTCCAGATTCAGCCAAGTACAGAAATGATTACTGTCAGACTGTAAAATCTACACACACTGCAGATTCATACTGGATTAAAAATACTCCACAATTATTACTGCCAGACTGTAAAAAACACACACTACAGGGTCATACTGGATTAAAATCACTCCAGAATTATTAATGTCAGACTGTAAAAACCATACACACTGCAGATTCATACTAGAATAAAATCACTCCACAATTATTACTATCAGACTGTATAGATTTCTGATTTATACTGGATTAAGAAAAAATACAGATTGATCATCACTTAGTAGAACCTCCCCAGGTAAAAGTAGTCCAGCTCCAGTACAGCGTAATAGTGTATTCAAACATACCTGGTTCTCCTTGGTCTCCAACTGGCCCCTCAATAGCCTTTCCAGTAGATCCCTTGTCACCTGGTTCGCCAAAATCACCTACAGAAATTTGTTCAGAGAAACTTGTAAACACTGTCTGATCACTGTAGCTTGGTACATTGGCAGACACCGCCAGTATCTCTTACCTCTGGGACCGGGATCACCCAGATCTCCAGGAAGGCCTCTGTAGCCGGGAGGACCACGGGCTCCGGGGTGGCCAATGGACCCAGGTTCTCCTGCCTTTCCAGGAGCCCCAGCCGGGCCTGGCCGTCCAACTGCTCCAGGAGCCAGAGGCCTTCTTAGATTGGCAGCCAGCTGTGCAATCTGGTCTGAGATGTGGTAGAATAGACAGCATTTCATCTTTTAAAACAGGACAGGCTGAAGCAGCACACACTGCTGCTGGTATTACACAGCATTTCATGAATAATTTAAATCTACAAGATTCTCACCATCAATCATTGGTCCACACAGTTCTCTTATATGCTGTTCACTTGCCAGTTTTCCCTAAGAGAGAGAGAGGGGGAGAGAGAGAGAGAGAGAAATAAAGACAATTCCAATACAAATCTACAAATGTGATATGTGGTTTAAATCTTCTTAATTCTTCCTAAATCTTATTATTTTCCATGCATTTAAGAAATAAAATCTTAAATGTACTGTTTTTTAGACCAAATTTAAAGTTAAGGACAAATTAAAGAACAGGTGCTATTCGTTCTTATGTTCTCATCAATCTGAAGAACCTATTCACGATGCAAAGAACCCTTTAATCATGCAACGAGTTCTTTGAGTGTTCATGGCTCTATATAGAACCATTTTCCTTACAAAAGAACCCTTAAAGAACCATTTATTTTTAAGTGTGTAAAAAAGGTTCTATATAGAACCATACAAAACACACTCTCCATCTGAAGAACACTTTCATGATACAAAGAGTCCTTTAATCATGCGTTCATGGTTCTATGTAGAACCATTGTCTTTACTAAAGAACCTTTGAAAAAAGACTCACCTCTTCAGGCAGTTCTTTGGTTTCCACATTATTACACTCATTCACACTTCATTTCTCAACTGCTGTGTAATTTCTCTTTAACCTCTGTGTTCAAGTGTTCACTAACTGTATTTTTGAAAAATGCACTTAATTCATTCTCCTCAGCATCTACATTTGCATTTATTTATTTAATTTGACCAAACAATGGTATGGCTCTTGTCTCTTGGTTACAGATTCTTGCAGTATCTCCAAGTACTTCAGCTACAACGGTTTGTACATTTTCTAAGTCTTACAAGCATCTGCTAAATGACTAAATAAAAATAAACAAAATTTAAATAGTCTAATTACTGAAGACTACTAAAAATGGATCTTAAGATGTCCACCATAGTCCATGATTGATAGGCCACATGACAGAGAGACTTTAGAAAGTTATCAAATAATAATCTCTCTTAAATCTTGAACATGTTTAATGTCAAATATTCTCTCTGAAGAGAAACATACTCAACGCAAATACGCAAACGCAAATGACAACACATTGCAAACACACAGCCCTTCTGCACAAACTCACCATGCATTCTTACATTACTGTGCTGGTTAAAACACTCAGTACTCAAGGGGGCAACAGAGGACGAATCAGAGCAGGATCTACTGTTCAACTGCTAAACATGGACAGTAGAGGAGCATCAGCTGCCTGTTCTATTGAAATGAAAAGGCAATAATGTATTGTATATGTTACGATATGTTTGCGTGAGACTCAACTGCACGTCGGCTATGGCAGTTGAGAGTTTGATCAGGCTTGGCTATTGCTATAGCACCCCTTGCTGTAATGCTCAGAATGCAGCTTGTGCTTGCGTTGCGTTTTGAATTGCGTTGTGACACATTTTTGAACGCAACAAAGTGCGAAACCCTGTCTGTGTAGCTCACAGCGGTCTACTTTGCATGAAGTATGTTTCTGGCCTTAGGCTTAAGATCATTCATAAAATTTTATCTTTGGAAAGGTTGGACTTTCCAAACTGTCCACTAGATACTCACAGGAACGCCAGTCTTTCCAGCAACGCCAGGAAGACCCGGTTCTCCTTGGAGTCCCATCAGACCTGGTTTTCCAGGTAGTCCTCTGGCTCCAATTTCTCCCTGAGGTCCAGTTACTCCTTTAGGCCCCAGCTCACCATGCTGCCCAGGCTGCAACGATAATAAAGTTAATACAGTGTATTATTTATCATTTTAGTTCTTGTTCTGAAAGAACGTATCAAACACAACATCGTCAAACACCTTTAGGTGGCTAGTTTATAAGATCAATTCACATTTTATAAGTTACTGAATAAAATAACAACACTTAAGAATATGACAAGTGAATCCAAACTTTTGAACGGCAGTGTATATGAACCCTTATTTTCAAGACCATCTAACAAAGCATTCATAATCATGCAACAAAAGTAGAATCACAGTTTCTGCTGCAAAAGGAGAGCATGTCCTTTTCTTCCCTGGCTAATTAAAAGGAACAATAACAGCGCGATGGAACCAGGCTAGTGAGCTCGCTTCTGGAACATCAGAGCGGCCTTGGTAATTACATTAATTGGGCTGTGAGAGTTTTGCAGCCTCTCTCTCTCACACTTGTGCCCTGGAGAAATCATATTACAAAAGCTTAAGAAGGCATCCATTAAGACAATTAATCCAGTTTAACCTGGAATGTGCTCTTAAATCTTTGAGAATCGGTTCATAAGGAGCAATTTGGTGCAGCTGCAGTACTTATGTGTGCAAGAAACGAGAGGGTTTTTAGACAGGAGGTCAGAGAGTGAGGTCAAGTGTAGTTCAAAAAGAAGATCAAGGACAGATTTGACACCAAAACTAGTTGTGGGTGAGATGGCCATATATATGTACATACACACACACAGTACCGCTCAAAATTCATTCAGTGGTTTTTCTTTAATTTTATTATTTTCTACATTGTAGACTAACTGTCATTTCTCTTTACTTAATTAAGTGGTTCTTGCCATAATGTGGATTAGAAAAATAGTCAAATAGGGCTATTCACTGTATAAAACTTTAAACCCTACCTCCACACAACACAACTGATGGTCTCAAACACATTAAGAAGGGAAGCAGTTCCACAGATTTACTCTCAATAAGGCACACTTGTTAATTAAAACCATTCCACCTGACTACCTTATGAAGCAGATTGAGAGAATGCCAAGAGTGTGCAAAGCTGTCATCAAAGCAAAACTAAAGTACGAAGAATCTAAAGTATAAAATATATTCTGGTTTGTTTAACACTTTTTTGTTTACTACATAATTCCATGTGTGTTCCTTCATAGTTTGATGTCTTCAATATTAATCTACAATGTAGACAGTAATAAAAATATAGAAAAAACACTGAATTTTGACTGGTACTGTATATAAATTCAAGTAAAACCATTTTAGATGCTGAAGTAAAACTTGTTCACTTAAAAATGATTATTGTAGTTTCCATTATAAGAAACATTTTTAACAACCAAAGTAAATATGAAATATGTTTGTTGTGCAACCAGTGAAAACAAAACTGAACAATATGTAGATAAACCCCTGTGTCAATACCGCTTTCTAACACTAGCCCCACAGGCCTGGCAAAAATGGTGCTAAATGTTTCCTACAAGAGTTCCTACAAGACTGAGGTCAGCTTCTTATTCGGCAGCTTTTCGTTATATATACCCATTCCAAACTTTCATTTCAATATCGCTGCTGTCGGAACAAAACACTATATCTCCATTTTTGTTGTTTTTCAGTTTTTGACATAGTTTGAAAATACCAGTTGTTCTTTACATTGTGTGTAAATTTCATGATGAATGGACCAAAAGAAATGACCCACAATTATTTGGAAAGAATTGTGGTTCTGTTTACTTACATTAAAAGTAAAGTATGTTTTTTGTTTCTACTGTAAAGTTACCATTTTGGAGATACGAGGTTTTGTTCTGACAACAGCAAGATATATATATATATATATATATATATATAAGATTTCATCAAAAAGATTTCAAAGCTCCATATTTTTACAACTGTGAGGCGTCTAGGAACCAATCACATACTAATTGAAAGAGGGGGTCATAGAGTTTCTGACTGTCACTGGAAGATGGCTCCCTTCAGTCTGCAAGGAGATGGCGACCCCTGAGCAGAATGTCTTTTGTGTTCTCCAGTTCAATAAGAGTGAATCTGTCATAACTGTGCAGCGTCATTTTTGTCGGCAGTGAACCTCCAACAGCTCAGAGCGTTCGGTATTGGTTCCACAACACTGGATGATCTCCGAAATCGCATTGAAAGAGCTGTGAGTACAGTGACACCCAATATGCTCAGTCAAGTACAGGATGAATTTGACTATGGCGTTGATGTTGTCTGTACAGCTGGAGGAGGTTCATACTGAGCACTTGTAAAATTACATAATAAACTTTATGCTCATTTAAACCATTTACAGTTTACTGCATTGTTCTGTAATGATTTACAAGTGAAATAAATCTAATGTAATTTTAATAATTTTGAAATCGGACGAATCTTTCTGAATCACCCTGTATATATGTACTGCCAATTTCGTCTGATTTCTCAAGTCATTGGTCTCATGCACACTGTTACTTCTGACTGCCAGGCACTGCTGGAATTTCTAAAACATTAAAAACATTACAGTCATTCATGCTTCAGTACCAACTGGTCCACTGGTTGTTTCGTGCACGAGGCCCTGAGACTGCAGCATAGTCTGATGCAGCTGACTGAGCCAGGCTCTTTTTACTTTTTTTTAAAAGACGGCAAGTTCTCTGGTGTCAACTTGAAAACACAACTCAATGTGCAGAATACAGTAAAACAGAAACAGAAAGGAGTCCCTGCAAACATGCCTATGCCATCTGTACACTCAGTTCATGAAGGAAATTCACAAACGACAACCAAAGTGCAAAGAATAACAAAAAAATAATGGAATTAATTACCTCAGATGACCAATCTCTTCTCTGTTCTCTGTTGTCGAGGACGCTAATTCATTTGATATTGTAGGCATTGTTTTATTGTCAGCTTTTTCTGGTTTTGGCCAAGAATTTCATTTTGGTGCATCATTAAATAAAATCATTTTGAAAATCTATGTGTCTGCAAACATCACTGATTATAAAGGCCAGTGCCAGAGGAGCTTTGGAAAGCAGCAAACTAAATGACAGTTTGTTTGTTGAGCAGCTGATAAATAGTGGACATTATTGATCAGCTCATGCTGAGCAGCCTCCATAATGGACCTTCGAACAGTGGTGTGTTTTAATTAGCTCACAGGGGTAACGAGTTAACCTTTCTGAGACTTACACCAAGTCATTTCCAACGCACCTTGTGTTTGGCACACTGAAAAAAGTGCTGCGTTGAATTTACTCCATTCAAATGTGTTCATAATTCCTACTTTTATAAAATTCTCTGTCACTTTACTTCTGGCAGTAACTGTGTTGATGTAATATATTTTATTCACGTGGAACCGGTGAAACCATTTGAATTAAGTAAAATTGATGCACTTTTATTGCACTGCAATGGCACATCACTAATCAGTGTCTGAATTCATACTCACCTCTCCTTTTTGGCCAGGAGGACCAAATGGACCCTAAAAGGAAGAGAAAAGGGTGATTTTGTCAAGCATCATCTTTGCTCTGAGATGAGTTGTGCGTGTATAAGAGTAGATAAGAAAAATGTAACGATATGTAATGTGTGTAATTCCTGAAAACAATTTTTCAATTCATTTTTGGTTCACAAAGTGCAAGACTACAAGTAATGAACTTAACTAAGATTAGAAAAGATTACAATATCTTTTTAAAAATCTAAACTATTTTAAATTTCATTTTAAATAAAAAAAAACACACAAATGATCTATTGTGATAACAGAAACTACACATTTTACTTTTTACACATTTTACATAATATCGCCTTTCATTACTCATAATTAAGAAACCCTGAAGTGTTAATAAATTTGATTTATTCTTAAAGATTTACAAGTAAAGTTCATTTACATACCGTTTCTCCATTTTCTCCTGGTAAGCCATCACTTCCAGCAATACCCTATAACAAGACAAAATGTCAGCTGCCCAGCAATCAACATTTGTCAAAATAATTAGGGCAAATTTGTAGCGCTGCTATAGAGAACCACTTTTAGTTCCCTAAAGAACCATTTTTGGAAATGAGTTTTGTCAAATGAGTTTTGAATGTGAATTTTATTTATTGATTGATTGGTTTAAACAACCTTCACATACTGTGGCACCAAAAAGTAGCTGGATACTTTAACAATTTAACCATTGGCCAACTTTAAAAATCACTTTCAGCACAACATCAGACTGATGGTGGAGTCTTTGTGTGGTGAAAGCTAGGAGAGCTCCAACCAGACTGTACTGAGGGTTCTGTAAAGCACAGTGGAAACCTCAGAGTCTGGGAGTGTTTTTCTTACAGTGCTGTCTCTGAGCTTGTGTTCACTGATGGGATCATGAACTCAGAAATGTGCAAAGGTATTTTGGATGCAAAGCTGCCAAAAAATTGTTCAAACAATAACAATCTGAAATTCACCAGCTGCCTTTTGAAAGACTACCAGAAAGAAAATGACAGTCTTCGAATGGCCTGTTTAAAGTTATTGGCATTTGGTTTGACATTTTGTTTCCCAACATTTGAAGCATGGCACTAATATCCAAATACTTTTTGGGGCCGCTGACGGTCTTAAAATATAATAGTTCTAGAAAAGGGTCCTTGTGCAAGGCCATAGAAGAACCACTTATGAAACCTTTCAATGGAAGGTCATTTCAAGAAATGAGATATGTGAAGTCCACATAATGAACCTTCACATCAAAATAAGGTTCCTTACATCTTAAAACTATTCTTCATACTCACAAATCTATTTTTCAGGTTCTTTAGGGAAGTAAGAGTGGTTCTTCTGTAGTGTCACTCAAAGAACCCTTTGTGGCACCATTTTTAAAGTATATAACAAAGACTTTTCCTAGAACTATACATGCAATCTAAGAGCCATTTATTTTTAAGAGAATTTTACAAGTAAATCTCACCATGTCTCCTTTAGATCCTGAAGCTCCTACTGGACCCTGTGAGAAAGTGATAGAGTCACAGAGAGAGAGAGAGAGAGATGAATTAATAGTGAATAGTGAATCAGTGGTTGGTGCAGTGGATAGGTAGACTGTGAGAGGTCGCAGTGCGGGTGCTAGCGGTATAAAGACAGGCTTTGTTCTGCTCCAGCTGCCTGAACAGTAGCAGGCTTTGTTTTTTTTTGTGAAAACTCTGCTCAGGTTGGCCCTGACGGGAGGAAAGGTGCCTTCGTCTGCTGGAGCATGTGTTCGCTCTTTTTGCACGTCTTCTTCACCCATTCTGCCATGCCGGATCCCTCTGCTCACTGCTGGTGGGCTTTTCTGGTGTTTTGTTTTGAAAATGAAGGAACCATACTGAACACGTTTGAGCCAGTTTCTTATTTATTCTTATCGCAAGAAGAATAAAAAAAAAGATGCATGCCTTTTACAGTTTAATTGTTTTTAGAATGCCTGTCATGAACTAGGCTTGAGTTGATTGATGTTGTTGCTGTCGCTAATAGTTTCCATCTATAGCGATTGACGATTCAGTTAGATGTTTTAAATGTAGTAGCCAGAGGCAGCAAGTTTTTATTTCCACTCTTGCTCATGCTTGATAAGCTGACAAAGCCACACACAGAACGCCTTTCCTCATAAAACATGATCGGGGACGTAAATCATTGTGACAGTGTGGTCACTACAAAAAAATACTATTATTAATAGCATAATAATAATAGGCTACGGTAACAGTACACACTTAAAAATGATCGTTCTTCAAGGGGTCTTTAGGAAAGAAAATGGTTCTATATAGAACCATGAACACTGAAAGAACCCTTTCCATGATCAAAGGGTTCTTTGCATCGTGAAAGCGTTCCTCAGATTGATGGAGAATGTGCTGTAGTTGAAAAAGGTTCTATATAGCACCAGAAGGGCTCTTCTATTGTAACAAGCCTGACATCATAATAATAGAAGAACCCTTTTGGGTGCTATATATAGAACCATTTTCTTCACTAAAGAACCATTGAAGAACCATCATCTTTAAGTGTGTAGCCTATGGGGTACTGCATCGTGAAAGTGTTCTTCAGATTGACAGAGAATGTGCTGTAGATGGTTCTGTACGGAACCGTAGCTATGTAGGGATCTATATAGCATCAAAAAGGGTTCTGCTATTGTTACGATATCAAGCTTGTTACAGTAGAAGAACCCTTTTTGGTGCTATATAGAACCATATACAACACATTCCCCATCAATCTGAAGAACCATTTCACCATGCAAAGAACCATTTACTTATGTAAAACTATTTTCTTTACTAAAGAACCCTTGAAGAACCATCTCCCTTAAAGAAACACAATCTTTCTCTGGTTTAATCAGGCTTCTCTGTGGTGTTGCAACATTACCTGCCCTGGTGAAGAAAGATTATTGGAGAATGGTACCATGGATGTTGATTACAAGGATCCTCAGTCTGTTGTTAGCGTTAGGAGCCTCACGGTCAGTATTTGTGGCTCTGTTTTTTCTGTTTGTGCTCAGATGATGTGGCAGTGGTGTGGAAAAGATTTTTTTTTGGTGGTGGAAAGTGATTCTCACTTGCCTGTGGTCTACACGATCAATCTCACTAGCAACTAGCTACTGTGACGAAGACCGGTCTACTCTTGTCTGATTGGCTAAATGCAATGCGGCAGTTGAAGTCTTTCAGTGCTTATCCCCTTGCAAATTTGCTTCGCCACACCGTGTTCATTTCAGTACATGATGGGTTGCAATGCAGCAAATAGACAAAGTTCAGCAAATTTCAACGTTATGCAAATCGCTGCTGTCAGAACAAAACCCTGTGTCTACAAAAAGGTAACTTTACAGGACAAGGAAAACATTCTTAACTTATAATGAAAGTAAGAAAAAAATTTCAAGTAATTTTAGACCATTTATGTTGGTCCATTTATCATGAATTTTTGACACAACATAAAAGGCAACTTTCAAATTATGTCAAAAAATAAAAGTTTTGTCCCGACAGCAAGAAAATGCATAACTGCAGCCAATCAGGGCAGTGGTGGACTGTTTATCATCATGTACAGGTAAGTTTCAGATCTCTTTCTCTTCTTTGAATCCTTGACAGTTTTACATAATAAGGAAAATAGCCTTTGAGAGTGAGCAAGCTAACTTTCTAGCTTGCGTGGACGATGCATTTCAGATGCATTCTGAAAGTTATAAAAGCACAAGTCTGTATTTTGGTTTCATTGCTTTGCAACATTATGCAGCATCAGATTGTTTGCTGCTCCACATGTGTTCAGTATGGTTCCTTCAACGCCCACCAGTATGAGCAGAGAGGTCAGGCACAGAGGAATGTGCTAAGAAAAAGTGGACACATAGCATGTGAAAATTTTATGATTGGGCCAATAGAAATGCTCCAAAATTCCTTTGAATAAAATCTCTTAATTTAATTTAATTTACAGTTAAGTAAGTTAAATTTAAGTTAAGAACGTTTTTGCTCTCTCCTGTAAAGTTACCATTTTGGAGATGCTTTTTTTTCTTCAGACAGCGACGATATACAACAACTAATCACCAGTGTGGTTTTGCATGCTGTTATTAATTTCCTTACACTAGCTTTACAAAGATGTTTACAAGAAGGTGGCTGTTTCGAGTAATTAGCCTCCTGTATCAGTCATTGCAGTCATAGTTCATGTCCCCAGTCATATTAAGCACTATTCATCAAATCATTCAAAAGACAGAAAGAAATTTTTGTTTTCCTGTAATATTCCATCAAAATAGAAGTTTTGCCTGCCTATAAAACGTCCAGATTTTTAATGATGTACCCATGTGCCAGCATGCAGAGCAAAATTATATTAACAATTAATATTTCGCCTCCCCCTCCCAGCTATAATTGAGAGGAAATGGTCGGCTAGCTCAGAGACTCTACAAACACATCACAGTACAGAAGGATATGATTTCTGATCCACGACAACTTTAAAGTGACTTAGTCCTTGAGCAGTTATTTCTCTGCAGCTATGACTTTGGCTAAAACTGTATAGTTCTAATCTGATTAAATGGCTTCATTGGAATAGCACAGAATAGATAAATATACTGATTTAGGGCTAAAACTCAGTGAACATCTTGGTACATATGGACACAGTAAGCAGTGATGTTTGAGTAAAGAAACTGTCTAACAGCTTAAATACATAAACCATAGAATATGATTCAATTTTACAATACACCTTCTCTCTATTTCTAAAGGGCTTGCATTGTAGAAGATCATCTCAGTGCAGAGCACATTGGCCCAAAGACAAACAGTCAAGAAAAAGAACTGATAAACCAAATGAACTCATGCGGAATGGGTGAGAACCTTCTAGAACAGTGTGAATGGGTGAGAACATTATAGAACAGCGTGATCAAAGGGAGATCATTCTAGAACAGTATGAATGGGTGAAAAATCTAGTGAGTATGGGTGAAAGCATTCTAGAACAGTGAATGGATGAGAACATTCTATAACACCAATCTAGAACAGTGTGGATGAGTGAAAACACTGCATGAGTGTGAATGGGTGAGAGTATTCTAGCACAGTATGAATGGGTGAATGCATTCTAGAACAGTGTAAATAAGTGAAAGCATTCTAGAACTGTGTGAATGGTTGAGAACATTCTAGAACAGTGTGATCAGGGGTGGAACATTCTAGAACAGTGTGGCGGTGGAAAACGTTCTAGAATCTCCCAACAATCAAATGCAGCTACAGCTCAACAGTCAGACTTTTGAGTTTGTTGGTGTTTGTTAGTGTTTATTTGGTGTTGGCCTGTGTCTGTTGGTGTTTGCTATGTGAGGTGCTGTTTGTTGGTGTTTATAATAATACACAGTAATGCCTTTTGTCTTAATAACACACACTGTCGCTTCTTATGTTCCTTAAGAATGAGCAGCCTTCCTCACTTACCCTCTCACCAAATGCACCCCTTAGTCCAGTTGGTCCTGGCAGGCCAGGGTCACCAATAGCACCTTTAATGCCCTGTTAATGACAGCACAGATTCTTCATCACCTTTAATCATTTAGAGTAATGGAGTAACTAAAATGGTTACAACTGATACATCTGAACCTCTCACTTATATTTAGTGATACAATAATTCTGAGGTCACGTGTGGTAAGATTAAAGCAAGTGACTGATAGATGTTATAAGGAATAGTGACAAAAACAGTGAAACAGTGACAAATACTGTAAAATACCACAAAGACTAAGTTATAGATGATAAAAAATGCTGACAGCTACAGCATGTACTATTTTAAAATTCAATCAGTTTATAAAAAAGGTTGAAAGGTTGGCTGTCATGGATTTGGATGCTAACCTGGAATCCTTTGACACCCTGAGGTCCAGGATTTCCAATCAGTCCGATAGCACCCTGAAAAAATGTTAGAAAATGAGGCTGTGAATCCGGCATTAGGAGCACTGCAAGAATTACTTCACCACATCATATCCATTCAATACTATTATCTGGTCCACTTTTATTAGAATAACGTAATTTTATTAGTTTAATTATTGTTATGCCCTTAAACTATGAGGGTCTGTATGTGGCCCATACTTTAGTTTCTCACTCTAACAAACCACAGAACTTACATGTTAGTTTCATAGTATTTATCAAATAATTAATAGTAGCTACCGGATAATTCATAGTAGATAATTATCAATTCATAGAATACACTGAATAATTCATGGTAGGCTGGTGAAAAATTAATCAAAGTTCATATGATTATCTAATATGATCTAATATAATCTAATACTATATTTTAAAGGAACAGTTAACAGAGCTATTAATCACCTTTGATTTTCATAATGCGAAATGGTGGCTAATAACTTTAATTCATTTTTAGCAACATTAGCATATTTGGCTGAATTGGTCCCTTAAGATTTAATAACTAAAAAATAATAAGCCTTTAGTTTACAGGGTTAAAGGGGAATTACACAAATTTTTCAAAACATTCCACATAATTAAATGGTTAAGATGTATACAGAGTCATTCAGAGTGGTTTGGTGTGAAACGCTCCGTTCTAACATGCCAAGTAGGATTTGTTCACAGTGGTGGTGATAGGAACCAGATGTCCACCTCTAAAAAGCTCTCTCACAAAAAGTTATTATATGAAATGTTGAGATATATGCTGCCTGTTGCCTGAGACATTGTTTTATGACAGTTTTGTGATAAAGTTTTGGCTTAAAATGTATTTGAACCCACTTATTTTAATCCATTCATGGCAGAGGGGTACATGCAGGGTGTTGTGAGGCAAAATAGTCCCTGAAGAAGACTTATTTTTTCAGATTATAACTATTTTACCATCATCAATATTCCATATAAAACTCAGAAGACTCAGTAGGTTCACTGGTGGTTTTAGATAGTAAATAGAATGGCTATATTTGTATTATAGTCATGGTGACCCCTGGTTCCTATCACCACCACTGTAAAAAAAATCTAAACCATTTTACACCAAACCACTCTGAATGACTCTGTTTACATCTCATGGACTGAATCAGTCTGAAATTTTGAAAAATTGGTGGGATTCCCCTTTAAGATAGCAATTCCATATTCTATACCAAATATTAAATAGCAATAAAGGTAATAAAGTAATAAAGGTTATTGGAGTTACATTTGATATAGTATTTGGTATTTTGTGCTATGCACTGCATGATAATACACACTGTATGTGCCTGTTTATGTCATGTTGACATATCATGCCTTTAACAAGATGACTCATGATTCTCCATTAATTAATTTTCACTTGCTGCTGCTGAAACTAATGAAAGATATTAAACGCACAGGATCCTGTCAGTAATTAGCCATAATCCTCAATGCTTAACCTGCTGTTTCACTCGAATCCTCTCTGAGACATCCCATTTCTTTTGCAGTGCACTCAAATATCTGTGAGATGGGATACTTGAACAGGAATTCTCGATGTTTCCTAGTGATACGGTTATATCCTTGTGTTGCTTAGCAACACCTGACCCTTGTAATCCTCATCTCATGAGCAATCACAATCTATTGTTTTATTTGACTAAATAAGCAGCGAGACATCCGCAGGAATAATTCTATTTTTCTCACTCGTTGTGATTCATCTAAGCTCTGAAGCTCAATCATAAACAATTCAGCGTGCTGAGTGAGATCAGGATTGATACTGAGGGCTGAAGGTATTTCAGAATTCTCAGAAGCTCAGGAACTGGCACTTTTTACACTTGCTGTCAGCGATAGATAGATAGATTGCGTTAAAAATAGATGACGGGATGATTTCTGTCTTTCAGGCAGGCTCTGAGTGAAAGACTGAAGCTGAGGTTCTCCACTGGTGAGCCGACTGTCCTTTAGGACCCCCATATGATCAGAAATAGCCCTGCATGAAAGTGACACTTTGGCTTTGCATGCATTTTCTGTCTATATGTGACATGATTTATTTATTTGCTTGCTTTATTTTGTTTGTTCAGATTTGTATGCAATGTATACACGTTTTGTTGAAAATAATAAAACAGGGAACAAACTGAAAGTGTGTCATTTTTCTTTTTTAGTGCACAATTTCAATTTTTTTTTATTTTTAGGTGAAGAAAATGGGGGGGGGGCAAACATAAAATATAAATTGTGCCATATTTTCTAATATGTTAGTATGTTTTATGACTTCGGCCACTCTAAGGTGCCCCATAACTGAAACAGCTTGTGTAATCTCCAAAAAGAAAAGCACTGACCAATAGAGTAAGATGCTCTGGAGTAGCTGCAGATGAGCCTAAGGTCACCGTGCCAAATGCCAAGCGTGACTAGAGGGGTATAAAGCCCCCCAGCATTGGGCTGTGGAGCAGTGGAACTGCATTTTCTGGAGTGATGGAGCTTCATCCAATATCTTTGGGATGAGTTGGAATGATCCAGAACTGACCATCCAACATCAGTACCTGACCTAACTAATGCTCAATCAAATCCTCACAACAATGTTCCAACATCTAGTGTAAAGCCCTCCCAGAAGAGGCTGTTACTGCTCTGTATTTGCATGTGTATAAGGTTGGCTTTGGTGTACTTACAGCCACGCCTCGTGGTCCAGATTCACCTCTCTCTCCTGGAATACCAATCTCACCCTGTTGGAGGAAACAGAACAAAGCTGAGTGAATTTTAGTTCTACAAATATCTCATAAACAGGTATGATTATTTCAATCACTAATAAATGAACTGCACAGTATTAATCAGTGGCCTCTTTCTGTAGGCCCTATAGTGGCCATTCCATGGGCAGAATGGAAATTGTCCTGATTTTCTAGTTAATATAATCAAATAAAACATTTTCCCTGTAACTCTGTAATCACATGAACTACAACTCCATTGTCTCTTTGTGTGAATGTTGTTGAGCTGCTGGTGAGCAATGAGGGGAGGAATGAGAACCCCCTCTGTGAAAAACAATCCACAGAGACAGCCGTGCCAAAATAAACTGCAGCTTTTTAAATATAAAACAGTCCTATTCAACTGACACAATAAAAAAGTAACAGCATTTAAACACGATAACAACAGTTCTACAAACATTGACTTGATTGCTCACCTATGAAGATGAAAATCCAGTTCACTTCCCGTTTGTAAATAATACACATTTTAATGTAAATATATTCCATCAATAGCCTGAAAACTGTGGGCACAGGTTGAGTGTAGTGTTTTTTTTTCCTATAATGAACTTTAGCCAGTTGGCAAATTTGTTGCCATTTCCAGCCAGCCTAATTTTTGACCATGCACACTTAAAAAAGATGGTTCTTTGGTGATTCTATAGTAAAGAAAATGGTTCTATATATCTTCTTACAGAATCATTTTGAAATGCCCAAAAAAACCCCAAAAGGGTGCTACTATGGTTATGATGTCAAGCTTCTAACAATAGAAGAACTCTTTTTGGTGCTATATAAAACCATCTGCTGCACATTCTCCATCAATCTGAGGAACACTTTCACAATGCAAAGAACCATTTAATCATGCAAAGGGTTCTTTAAGTGTTATTGGTTCTATATAAAACAATTTTCTTTACTAAAGAACCCTTGAAGAACCATCTTTTTTAACAGTGTAGAATAATATTCATTATTTTTATAATCTAAACAGCAAAGGTTATGTAGAACCTTTTTGGTTCTTTATAGCACCTAGAACCATTTCAAAAAGGTTCTATATAGAACAATGTACAATGCATTCACCATCAATCCCAAGAACTGTTTCACCATGCAATGAACCCTTTAAGCAATTCGAACCATTCCCTTTAATGAAGAACCCTTCAAGCACCATCTCTTTTTAAGAGTGTACACTTTATTTGTAGGGTCGCTATTTCTAATATGAGTTATTTGGGACAGTGTAACCCCATTCTTCTATGACGGTCAGCGATCTAACAGGCATTAACAGTAAACATAACCACATTTGCAGTGCATCAGGTCCTATCTAGCTTTGAGTTCGTCTGCAGAAGCCAATCAGATACATACAGGAATACCTGGCTCTCCGGACGGTCCTGCTTCTCCCATCTCTCCTGAATCACCCTGACAGAGAAAGGAGTAAAACATGCAATTACACATTCATTTATAACTAACAGAGCTTCTGATTATGGCCGTATAGTCATATCAGTCATTAATGGATATGTTTTCTGCTACAAATATAAATTAGCATATATTCCAGAACAGTTTGAGATACAGTTTAGATCGAGAACATTGGAGTAGTGTTTTATAATGTAGTATCTTAGTAATGCTTGGAAGTATAAATGAGAAAAATTGCATATTTTTCCCAAACCTGTCTGAATATTCACAGGTGGAACCAATCAGACACGCTCAGAGGTTGGGCTTAGATATTTGAATAAAAATACATACAACTAAAATCAGCACTTAGGGGAGTTTAATGTTGCACATATTACAGATACTTTCTATAATACATTGTTTTTTCTCTTAATGTTCTTATAAGAAGCAGGTCACACTGGAGTCTAACAGATTCTATACTTCTTTTTCTATGATATTTCTATTTTCCTGGGTGTATTCGTGATAATAAAATAGAATATAATAGAATCTGAAGCTGTGAAATATTTTATGCTCAAATGTGCAACATTTAACTTACATATTCTGTTACAGAGCGTACCGCAATATGCCTATTTTAGTTCCATCGAACGTCACTGCTGTTGATGTCGGCTAATATCAATCTATTTTAAGCATTTTGTAGATAAAAATGGTCACTTACAGCTGCTCCTTTGGCTCCTTTTGCACCAGCTTTCCCTTGCAAACCCTGAAAAACACGCACAGTAACTCAATGAGACAAAAAACATGAATGATCATCAAATTGAAAACAGTGTCAAAGCAGTGTCCGATTACAGCTGTCACAATCACTTAAACTGAACTACTCGGTTAAAAAAAAATTATAGGTTAACCCTTAGAACCGCATGGGGATGCCATCGCCCCCTGCTGTGCATGTTTTATTAAAAAGGCTGCCAGAAGTCACTCATTTGTCATAGTGTTGGATTCTTGAGACTTCAGGGGAAAATATGAAGGCTGAATGATTAGAATATAAAGGATGTAAGCTTTTGCATCTTATGATGAACTTTCAGTGGTTTAAACAAAACTAGGTTACATAGGCTCATTAAAATCACATACATTTTTATTGGTTTTCAGTTTGTTTAGCATTTACTTGCACAAGCTAATGAAATGTTGGTTTCACTTCATCAGTCTCATTGCTTTGTTTCCAGTAGCCAATGGGAATGACACAGCAGGATGTCCTCATTTTCAAACTGCCTAATCCTGCAGAATATCATAGCGCCCCCTTTAGGACCCAATTAAAAGCAACTATGAAGACCTTATCATTACCTTGAAAAGTCATGTGTAGGCTCCAGTTTTTTTTTTTTTTCTTCAGATCTGTTGGCACTTATACATGTTGTGTTTCAAGAGATCTGACTCTTTGATGGTCTTGTGACAACAGTTTGATATATGTATCTTCTAAACTCTGTAAAGCAATACTAACTTTTAAATATTCTCATTTATTTTGCTAAAAAATACATCATGTTACTGTGGTTGAAGTTTGGTGTTCCTCCACTAAGATGTCAAATCAACATGCAATCATAATGTGGAAACATTCAAAAGTATTTGGACCCATTTATAGTCTTATTTGGAGAATGTTAAATAATAGAAGTTTACTTTTTTGTTCAAGTTTTTAAATAAATGTATTTCTCTTTTTTATGTCTGTAGTGTTTTTATTTGTTTATATTATGTATTTTTACTCCTTATTTTTGTACATTTCTTCCTTTCCCTATATGTCTTATGTACATATTTACTCTTACCTAAAATACCTTACATATACAGTGGGGTCCAAACGTCTGAGACCACTAGTAAAAGTGCTTCCATTTTGCATTTCTGTCTAATTTAATCCAAAGTTTTTTTTCCATTACAAATGATATTATCAGCATAACAATGTGAGTGAAATAGTAGAATCTATGAAATTGCAACATGAAATTCAGAATTTCTTAGTATTTGGTGGTGTGTCCTCCTTTTTGCTTTAATGACAGTGTGTGTTCGAGCTGGACTCAACAAGGTTGTGCAAAAGCCCCTGATGAGCAGATCAGATCCACCTGAGAGTTGCCTGAACACGAGTTTCAGTAGAAGAAATCTTTCTGTACAAAGACCTCAGCACGGTCAGTGACACATATTTGCTGAAATTTGAATAGTAACACACACTTAAAACTATGGTTCGTCAAGGGTTCTTTGTAAAGAAAATTGTTCTAAATAGAACCTTGAACACTCAAAGACCCCTTTGCATGATTAAATGGCTCTTTGCATGGTGAAAGTGTTCTTCAGTTTGATGGAGAATGTGCTGTAGATGGTTCTATATAGAACCATTTTGAAAAGGGTTCTATATAGCACCAAAAACAGTTCTTCTATTGTAACAATAGTAGAGCCCTTTTTGATGCTATAGAACCCTTTTCAAAAAAACTATAACACATTCTCCATCAATCTGAAGAACACGTTCACGATGCAAAGAAGCCTTTAATCATGCAAAGGGGTCTTTGAGTGTTCATGGTTCTACATAGAACCATTTTCTTTACTCAAGAACCCTTAAAAAAGCATTATTGTGAGAAATCTTCAATATTTCTTCATTTTAATTGTCATGACTTTTCTTTGTTTTACACTTTTTCAACGTTCTAAAAATGTGTTTATTTCCAGACTTGAAAAGCTGTAAGCTTAAACATGTCCATAGCAAAATACGAACAGGAATGGCTTAAAAATGACCTTGTCAGTGAATCTGCAACTGACACTGTTCTGTCATTCAATCAGAAATAACCCATATAGTAGGCAGATTTCTTATTTATTAAAATCATCAAGCCCTACTTCCAGTACTTTATATTACATCATGGTGCACTAATTATAGTGGTGTCTTATATGGCTGGAAAGTGAGCTGAACACTCACCGGCAAACCATTAGGCCCTTTCTCTCCAGGCACACCAGGCGGTCCGGAGTCACCCTGGCAACAAGGAGAAAAAACATTCTCACTATGGTAGGCGTACTGCTTTTGTCAGTGTTTGGTTAAAATTAACTTCGACTGGTTTAGGAATAAAAAAATCACTTACTTTCTCTCCGTCCAGCCCGTGAGTGCCGTCCTTACCGTCTCTGCCCGGGATGCCCTGGAGGAGAGAAAAGTGAGGTAATGTCATTTTACTTACAAAAACATCAGAGTCAGTGATTGAATGATAATAATGATGAAACTAACTAATAAAGCAATGAGCAGTTACAGAGGTACACAAGCCTACTACACAAACCTTCTACTAAAGTTGCCATACTGTATACTTTGTTTTATGAAACAGCTATTACAGTGTTATACACATTTTTAAAAAGTCTGATTTGAAAGAATACAAATGTATGTTTGACAGATCTAGGAACAAATCAGTGTTTGAAAGATTCACTGCAGTCAGTATATTTAAAATCCCAGGCAAAATTCGGGCACAAATGGGTTAATACAATATGTGACTGCATATAAAAGTGACAAGCCATGAGAGGTCGTATGGTACAGTGTTTTCACAGATAAGGTGTGTTCTTAGGCACAATAGAGTTAAACCACTGTAATGCACAGCCTCAAGTTGCTTATTGCTTTTATAAAAAATATTATTTAATATTATAATTATAATAAGCACAATTAACAATCCTTCCACCAAGAAATGTACTTCTTTATAGTATGGTGTTGTTCCCAGGATTGCTGAATGAGCAAGAACTTTGTCACCCATCATTATATAAGGCAAATATCATAATGAAACACCCTTTGCCTTATAAGTAGTTTTAGCTTGCCAAATGTCCACTTTAATGATAATGCTGATTTCCACTAGTGTCTTAATGCGATTTCTTGGGTTGTGTTGCCATAAAGTTAACAGTGCCACACGTTTGTTTTCCCATTCTGGGTTTAATGCTGTTTAATGCAGATCTATCAAGAATATAGACATTCAAGTAACAAATTCTTTACTGTTATAAAGACTGTTATGAATTTTAATGAAGGAGTGTTTTTAGCCTGTTTAGCTTGCTATCTTTTAGTCTATACCTGCTCCTCAGTTTTAACAAAGACCAGGTGCATTAATACAGAATTCAGTTGTTGTGAGGCAGTCATACTAATTTAGTTATGAGTATGTTACAATGGTTTTGAACTTGCTCAATCAGATTTTGAAACTGGAGTTATTCATTTTATAAATAGTGATAATCACTTACAGGTTCGCCTTTGGGGCCTTGAGGTCCCGGCTGTCCCTTAGGGCCTATTTTCCCCTGTGGAAAAGAGATTATAGACAGCGTAAGTACATTAATCACTCAAAGCTGCCTGCTCATCCGCTGAAGTTACACTAAACACCAAAACCCAAAGGGAACAAAACAAAACTTCACACTCACAATCTCTCCTTTAGGTCCTCTGAAACCCTGTGGTCCTTTCTCTCCGGCATCGCCCTGGAATTATCAAATGATAGACACAGAGAGCTTTTATTGTTGAGACTCAGAAGTGAGGAGAAAGACTGTCCAGTCCCTGAGTTCATGTCAGTGCGCCAGATAATTAAGCAAAAAAACACTCGAAGTAACTTGTTATGGTGAATAGCAAGAATGAAAGTGCTGAGAAAGGAGGTAAGTTTTAAGATGAACTTTGAAGGAGGGCAGGGTTGTATGGGTGCAGGAGCTCAGGAGCTTTTTATAAAGGTTCTATATAGAATCATCTACAGCACATTCGTCATCAATCTGAAGAACATTTTACAATGCAAAGAACCCTTTAATCATGCAAATAAGCCTTTGAGTGTGCATGGTTCTATATAGAACCATTTTATTTACTTAAGAACCTTTGAAGAACCATCTTTCCTAAGAGAGATCTTTCCTAAGACGCAACTTTTTTGTAAAGCAAAGCAAAGCAAAAGCCCTAAATATTGTTTCAAATATGTGTTCTTAATATTGAGTTTCTTCCAGCAAAAAAAAGTAGTTCCACCACACAAAAAGTGGAAACAACAGCTTCTAAATTTGACCCACTACAGTGGTCAATCAGTGGTCAGCGAAAATGCAGCAGCATCTTAAAAAAAAGTACTGTTCTGAGACATGAGTAGAACACCTTTCAACCAGCCAGACAGCGTGGGTGGAACTAACTGTTACATAGTTAAGCAGTAGAACATGACAGGGAGTCCATTATCAAGACAAGTAAAACAAAAAGTAAACTAAAGATGTTCTGAACATTGTTTTACATATTCAGCCTTGTGTAAAAGTCTGTGCACCCCTGGTCAAATCACATTTTGTTGACTTGCTGAGTGAAAAAAGTGAACTTGGTTTCTGTTTATTTGCATGCACCCAAACTTTTGCACAGGCCAGTTTTTTAGTTTTATTTTTTTTTCCCTAGTGTATTACATTCAGCACATAAACAGTGATTGTGCATTAAAATGTTCAGACGTGTGTTATCTGTAGAGGATGTGTTCACTTTTTTCCAAGCAGAACATCAACATAAACATGTCATTTAACCAAACTTTTGAATAAAACTGTATGTTTTTAATTTCCTCAATTTGTTCTGGCAAAAAAGTAGTTCCAGCAGTTACCAGCGGAGTGATAATTGCTGATGCCAGTGATGAGCAGAATGATACAGACGGGGGGAAAAAACATGCTGTTATCAGAGATAACAGTATGGGTAGAACACTTTTCAACCAATCTGACTGTGTGGGTGGAGCTAACTAGTGCATAACTCAGTGGAGCATTTTAAAGCATAATTAACTGTATAGACGACAGCGCTGATGCGGGGAGGACTCAGATCCAGCATGCTGTAGTAAATGTGGCTGTGGAGATACTCACTGTTTTCCCGATCACACCAGCAGCTCCAGGCTTTCCTCTGAAACCCGGCAAACCCTGCAGAGACGGAGAGAGTTATGGACAGACGCACGGACAAACTTTGGCTGAATCACCATTACACTGATTTAGACTGTCATTCATTCTTTACAGGTTTACTGTCATATCAAACCTTCTAACTCCAAAAACCACACAAGCATAGTTCCTGACAGAGTATTTTTACATTGATATAAATTTGGTTAAAGTTTCCATTAAAAAAACTTTCCTGAAGAGATTTTAGTAAGTTCACATGATAAAAGAGAAAATTTAAAAGCAAAATTTACTTAAGATGTTTTATGCAAGTAACTACTTTCTTTGTAGTGCTTTGAAGGTCTAAATGAAAATGTAAGATTTCAAAGTATGTTTTTCTCTTGAAAATGTAACAAGTGTTCAATTTCAATCTTACTCAAGTAAAGCACAAATCATCCAAAATAATACTTAAATATAGTAACAAAGTAATTTCCTCCCTGCTCAAAGCTTCTTCATTAACTACACGGAAAAACAGCACAAAAAAATAAACTTTATATTAAACGTACATTAAATGTAACACTGTCCTCCTTAAAAATGACCATTTCAGAGATAGAAGGTTTTGTTACAGCAGCGACAATAATGTAGTTATAACCACATCCAGTCATTTATAAAGTCTGTATTGATATGATAGCGAGATGAATTTTTTTTTAAAATACTCACTCTGTCTCCAACTGGCCCCACTGGACCCTGAAGTCCTCTCAAACCTCGAGGGCCCTGAAAAACATTCAATCAGTCACTTCAGAGCTGTGTCTTATCTCCAAAATAATCCAGTTTAGACAGATCCTTAAATGAGCTCTAACTTTTTTTTTTATGTATGTACGTATATATATATGTATATACAGTGCCACTTTATGAACTGAATTGATATTAAATACATAACATACTGCCTGTGCTACCAGCTCTACAAATTCTCAGGGCAATTAACACAGCTCCATTTAAGCAGCTTATGTGGGAGTTCAGACACCCCCTCCAAAAAACATGTTTTGGACCCTCATTTCCTTGAGACAAGAGACAGCAAATGAAATTAGCATTACCTACAGAGCAGATCACTCACCTGTAGACCCACTGTTCCTGGGATACCAGGTGGGCCGGGGGGACCTTGATCACCCTGTAAGGAACATTCACGTAATAATTTAGAGATGACAAAAAAATAACTGCTGTACAATTTAAAGTAAGTTACTGGCACTAACATACTGTAAATACACAGAACTGCACTGTAAGACATTAGTAATTTTACTGTAATGCATTAAAATCACAGTAACTTTTTAAAACACATATCAAAGTTGTGTATAGTCAATCCTATTGTAAAGTGAGCCAACTGTAACTATTCTGTGCCATTTAAAGACATATTATACTGATACTATACTACTGTACTACTGATTCCGCCCACAAAATTAACATACAAAAAACAGCTAGTGCATCTCATACGCTGCAATAATAACACGTTTAATAATGTTATTTCACAATAAATCTTATCATTCTACCGTCTTAAAATGAAGGAGTTTTGTTTATTTCGTATTTTATTTTTTCCAGTGGTTGCAATTTTAACACTATAATTTTTGGTCGGTAGGGGGCGCGCGCAGTGCACTCGCTGCTCCACCTCAATCTCCACCTATGAGCACAGCCACTGGCTCACCAGCTGCTGAATGCTGTCATGTTATTTGCTCCTTACTGAAACATCTGCATGAATTAGGGCATGCTTCTTGTACATTATATGCAAGTGAGGTGCTGGTAGACCTGCGCTTGATTTCACGCACTGAAGCTGAGTGATCGTTTACACTCAAATCTCCACTTCTTTCCACAATGTACTAAAGTTTCATGAATCAAACACAAGTTTGTACGTCATTACAGGCAAGTCAAAGATGAGGAATGTCATTAAATCTGTGCTCTTTTTTACACAGTTTTGATGAATAAGGGTCTGTATATTCCTGCTAAATAGTAAACTGTTAAGAATGCACATTCTCCCAGAATTCATCACACAATACAACTACCTACTGTAATTTCAGAAAACAGGATGCTGTTGCATATTGTATAGCGATTTACTGCAAAATTACAGTAGTTTTTACAGTGCACATCAACATACAATGCCTCCATTAAATTAACAACTGGACAATTTGACATCAATAAAAAACATCACAATATGTTTCAGAGCATATCATTGGTGTTGATACTGACCAGCTGCTTGTTTTATTATAAACAGATTGAGAAGATGTTCCAGTTGGTGTAGCTGTATGATGTTTTGCTTTACTGTTGGGAAATTCAGGTATGAATCCAGAAGTTTTAAATGTGCAAATGTGTTTTAAATGTCTTTCAACTTGTTCAATCTTAGAGAAACTAAATATACAGGCATGTATGGTGTAAAAAGTTGGCTACATAGATTATTAAAAATTGATACGTTTACTGAAATACAAGTGACATGTAATGTTAAATTGTATTAATTCAGAAAGATTTCAATACAGTCTCTACACACAGTGGAAATGTGACAAAACAGATTTTGGACAACAAGAGGAGATAAACTCAAGAATACAAGAGACACAAAAATCACAGTATGATAATAATATTACTAATACTACTACTACTACTACTGATGATAATAATAATAAAAAAAGAATAATAATCCTTATTTATAATCGATATTATATATCAAAGGTAGCAGTTCATAGCACAAATTAAACAAATTAAACTAATTAAACTGGACAAACAGCTGACAGAAAAAAATTCAGTTTCATTTTATTCTATTATAGTTTAGTAACAGCAATATAAGCAGAAAAAAATCAAAGAATGTTAAGATTATTCATTTATATATTAATTTACAATTTTATGAAGTAACAACATAGACCAAATTAAAGAGAGAACTCCAAAAAGAGACGCAGAGTTTTATTTAAACACTGAGTTAAAAAGCTGCATTTTCAGATGTTTATTAAAAGTGAGCTCTGAGCTTGACTGTCTAATAAAAGCTGAACTGAGCTTCACAGTTTAGAAGCAGAATAACAGAAAGAGTCTCCCCATGTTTACTGTATTTTACAGAAGGTGTTTCAGAAGGTCAGTATCGGCAGATCTAAGATCATAAACAGACAGACATCCAGGAACTTTAAGGTCATTTAGAGCTTTAAAAACCAGCAGCAGAGCTTTAAACTCTCTCCTAACAGATCCAGGCAGTCAGTGCAGTGTGTAAACAGGGGTGATATGAGTTCTCTGTGTTGTTGTGAGGATCCGTACTGCTGTAAATATAACGTTAGGCCACATGTTAGAAAATAGAATGTCTTGTGGAAGAGACGAACATTCTAGTGATATTAAGTACTGTGCAGTAATATTAATGCAGTACTGAGGGAGTTATCAGACGGTAAACTCCAGATTACTGATGTCCCGCCACCCTGAGGGGGATAAAAATAGGGTACAGGACGATGCTCTGTATTGGGATGCTTTCGGGACGATGATGTTGAGCCCAGTTATTTAACTGCAACTGTTAAAAATAATTTAAAAATAATATTGAAACTAATTTGAACACAGTAAAGACCCATATCTGCCTGTTTTAGAGGGTTTGTGCTTGTATGTGTAAAAACCTGCAGTAGCTGCACTGCTTATGTCGCTTCTCTCGCCCTAATGGCCACTTTGGGGTGCGTCACTAAAACATATGCAGATAAGGTGCAAAGAGGGAACGTGTGTGCAGAGCTGTAGGCCATTTCTGAGCCCCAAAGCAGCCCACTGTTTTTAAACTTTAAAAAAACATAATGACGTCCCACACTTTGAATACATTCTCTTTTTTTAACCATTATATCTCCTGGGAGTGTCTTTGAGTGTGTGACCGGGACAGTGACACAATTGGTTACCACGCCACATATCAACAATCTGACTGTACGTCACTCAACTCATCTGCATAAAGTTAATTCAGAAGGAGAGAGTGTACATCAGTGATTTGATATCATTTATGTGAGCTTTATTGTCGTCTATCGCCACGATATGGCACTTAATGACATACCCACTTTTCACCATTGTCAAACAAAATTAAAAAGAAAAGGCAAATAATTCTGGATGACATCTATGTTTACGTCAGGTAGATACTAACACTTCAAATTTTAGCACCCCAGTGCAAAACACTGGTTGCACCCACTGGTTGCACCCACTGATGCTTAAATCTGTAAAATATCCTGTCGAAAAAAATCATAAATCTGCCAGTCGCTCTTGACAACCATTAACACAAAAGTGTTTAATGCACAGAACATTAGCCAGTGATGTATCAGCTGTCACCTAAACAGACACGCCCCACTCAGAATCATCTAAATGGTGACAGAAATGGGAAATGCATACATGGTTAGCATCTAGAATATAACGTTTTAAAATTTTATCAGCAGTTTGGATATTTTAGTAAACAATGAAAAGCTTTCTTCTTATCTCTATAAAAAATAATTCTTGCATGATTTAATTCTCACTGATACAGGAATGTAATCGTCATATTAGTTGATTAATCAGAAAAATTGGCGATAGATTGGAGGGTCTATATTTTTTACCACTTTTGACACTGGTGTGCTTTTATGTACCAAAAACAGTCATGACCATTTTTCAGTCTCACTTTATGCCTTAGAAAAAAGCACTCAGAAATGAAACTATCTAAACGGCTAAACTGCTATAGGCTGAATAGGTGGATATTTGCAATAAATTTAAAACAGGCAGCTTAGTTTCCATATACGGACTTTATGGAGAGGATAGTGAACCGTACCTTTTGAAATTTTTTGAAACAATATTTATATGTTACTTTTTCATTTCATAAAAGCTATTAAAATGAGTTTTTCTGACATATGGGCCCTTTAACTGGTTACAAAAGTAATGATTATTTGCCACCCCGGTATTGTGATGTTACATTGTTGTCATATTGCCCACACCTACTATACAGACTTAATGAGTATTTCCATTACAATATGATCTTACCTTCTCACCATCTTTCCCAAGTTCCCCTTTGTCTCCTTTGTGACCTGTGTGCCCCTAAAAGGACGGATAAGCAAACAGATTAAAAAGACACAAGGCAGAGCCGGAATTAGTTTACAAGGTTTCAGCTGAAGTGTATGTAACTGAAAGTTGGTGTCAGAAGTGGAGCCACTGAAGTACCTTAAAACCGGGCATTCCGGGTGGTCCTGGGGGACCTGGTGGACAGATGGCAGGGCACTGCAAAGAAAAAATAATCACAGTTAATCACCAGCATTAAAAAACATGCCGTCATTTTATATAAATTGTTTCTGACTCGTAGCTCACTGAAACAAGCAGAGACACTGTGTGGAAAGTGCAAATTCTAATAATTATAAAATGCCACTTAGACTGTATTTCAAATTGTTATAGGCTTCAAATGATTCAACAATAGATATTTATAGGTAGAGTTGGTGTTAATATTCAGGCATTGGATTCAGTTATTGTTAACTATGTTATTATATTTAGGTGCTACAGTAAAGTGACAGCAATTCATTTAGCTTTCAAAGGTAAATTGATTTAGTAGCTAGAATTACATTTGGTATTCTTGCTTTCCTCGTGAAGTATGGACTGATTAATCTGACTTATTGGTTCAGCAGACTTATCAGCAAATGTTAAAATCTAGCACAGAGACTGTTATAGATAATCATGGCCTTCAGATGCATTCAAACATTGCAGAGTGTAGTAGATTAGTTCTGGAACTGAACCCCAGATAAACAGCTGCAACTACAATAATAACAATAATAATAATAATAATAGTAATAATAATAATAATAATATAATAATAATAGTATTATTATTAGTACTATTAGCCCATATCCCTGCATTATTGTGTGTGAATGTGTAAACATTATAAAGGTTTTCTGTTTGTTTATTTTAATTTTTATTTTGAAGCCATTTATAATGAAAAATTTGTAGACTTCAACTTAGAAAATACAGCTAGCTTTATAGCCGCTAGTCAGAGGTGGAGAAAATAAATGAATAATCTACTGATAATCTACTAATAATAATCTACTAATCTTCTAATAATAATAAATGAATAATGACTGATCTACCACCCTGGAGAGCTCAGATCCAACACACCTGGCTCTAATGTTCAGACGTTCCTGAAGGCCTTCATTAACTGGATCAGGTGTGTTAGATTAGGGGTGGAGCTAAACTCTGCGGGGTGGCAGATCTTCAGGACACCTGGTCAATACTGAGATTACAATCATTTAACATGAATACTTATGAAACATAACTGATTTAGTGCACTATTAAAAAACTTAGGGGACTTCCCTGAATTTTGAATTTAATACAACTGAAAAAGAAATGTAAAAAATGTAATAAAGACAATTATATATATATATATATATATATATATATATTATATATATATATATATATATATATATATATATATATAAAATATATAAAAATAATACATAAGTATGGACTTTTAGGGAGGGGGTGAAAGTGCACCACTGTAAAGGAAAAGGGCAGACGCTGGATTTATAACACTAGACAAAACCAGAGGATCATTGCGAAGTGAAATGCGGCACAATAATCATTATATTGATTAATTGCCCAGGCCTTTCTTTGTTTGATGCCAGTTTCAGTAATCCCTGAGTAAAGTATAAATGTTCCACAATAATACTTAAGCATAGTAATGAGGTACGAGTATTTTGCATCCCTGCTGCTGGTTTTATAGCTGACTACCTTGTCAGCTGGAAGACCAGACACAGTTTGAGGCTTATTGAGAAGATCCAGGCTTTTCTAGCATTATGCAGTGATGGTCCTCATCTAATGGATTCCACTTTGGTGTTGTGGTTCATCATCATCCATTCAAACCACTATTTGGAATTGTTCACATGACATGTCTAGCTTAGCTGATGTGGCCTGCATACTTTTACAGTTTGGAAAACCATTAAATTATCAACAAGTGTCCAAAAACGTCTCTGAGAACTTACCAAAAGTTCTCCATTGCCCTCAGGAAGAGCCCCAGGAAGTCCCTAAATGCATAAACAAGACAAAATAAAGCAGCATTATACAAAATCCAACTGTTTCTCTTCTTGCTTTTTATCTGAACTCATCTGAAGGTGCAGCCCAAAGAGCCTATAGGTTCCTTCTCTATTCCTTGTTTTCGTCCACTGTGAGCTCTCTTGTTCATAAAGATTACATTACTCAGCAGTCATTCTGATCCTTCATCAGTACAAATCTATGATATTTTTGTGTCTCTAAATTAAAGTTGTTCAAACACAATCTGCTCTACTACAAGATCTGATCATTATGGGTCTGTCTTTGCAGTCAAGTCCAGTCAAAAGGTTTTGTTGGTTCTCTGAGGGAAAATAACACATCCTCTACATAGAACACACTTAAATATGGCATTTTTTGTGGACAATTTCTACTATGCTGAATTAAAAGCTACACTATGCAAGTTTTGGGGATCTAAAAACCACTATGGTGGAAATTTTGTAAGGTAAGGTGTGTCTTAGACCCTTTCCTGAGCCAATGAATCTGATGATTGCAACCCTATTGAAATTTAAAAAGACATAATCAATCTGGATGTGAGGATGTGAGTGAATTATCTACTACTGTCATCATATCTTCATCAGTATAATGTTGATTTTGCATTTGAGACCTAAACATCAAGCCAGACCTTCTTTTCCAGTCTGTGTGTAATATGTAAAGACGTATGACATGGTCCGAAAAACTCCCAACCCAACATCTCTGACTTTTAAAGGATTATTTCAGGCTTTACAGGACAACTCGCAGCAGCACATGCTCACCATATTTTAGCCTGTTTTTATTCTCTTGACTTTCGATTCAACAAAATAACATTTTGTAGTGCTGCTTCAACGTAGCATATTGGAAAAAAATGAAATGTAAGATATGAATTGTGGCATAAAATGTGGGTCTATGCAAAAGTTATGTTATATTATTTATATTCTGTAAATTCAGCAAGTAAACAGTAACCGTGTGTTAAAATGTGCAGAAGTGTGTCTCTGTAGAGGATGTGTTCACTTATTTACCCTTAGAAAATCAACAAAAGCATGGAATTTGACCAGGGGTGTCCAAAATTTTGTATATAACTATACAGCCAAATGCAAGATTTGGTTTGCTTTTTGAATAGCACTATACTGCTCAGGGTTACAATGCTCAGCTAGGGGCTGTGGGGTCAAACAGTCTAAGACCACATGGTTGTTTTTCATTTAAACCTGGAAATAAACAACAGAAAGTTTTAAAATTCTGAAAAAGGTAAAACAAAGAAAAGTTATGACAATTAAAATAAAGAATTTTTATGATTTGGCACTTTTTCTAGGTCACTACTCAAATTTAAGCAAATGTGTGACACTGACCATGTTAAGGCCTTTATACATAAGGTAAGTTATTTTTTTTGTCTTTTCCACTGGAGCTTTTGTCACTGTTCGTGATGCCAGCTTGAGTCCTGCTGTCGTTAAAGCAGAAGGGTGACAAACACTAAAAACTATTGCTCTAAAAACGTCTGTTATGCTGGTTATATCATTTGTAATGAAAAACTTTGTTTTAAATTAGAGAAGAATGCAAAACAGTGTTTTCACCAGAGCTCAGACTTTTGGACCCCAGTTTATAAAATTCTTTTCTTTTCATCAGTATGAATTTAACAGACATTGCTGTCCTTACTTGACATGTGCAGTACTTACAGGTGGCCCATCTGGACCTGAAAGACCAGGAAGTCCTGGAAGACCCTCAGGTCCCTGGAACGAAGCAGACAAAAACACTTTAGGCAGGTTTATCTGTATAACATTCATACACTGTGGCCATTCAAAGTGCTTCACTAATGAGAAAATACAAAGATAAATTACAATTACAAAGATAAACTGCTATGGGTGGCCTGTGAAGATGCCCCGCTATTCTACAAGCTCTGTCAATAAAATCAACTACTAAATAATACAGTTATTCCCATAATAAAACAACAATATTTATAAGCGGCCTGTTTTACACTGTAATTCACAGTGTAATATGAAAAGTTCATACTGGAAATCTTTATTTCTGAATTTCTATTAGTTGTATGGGATGCACAGTGATATCAGAATCATATCAGTATTAGCAGATAATTGCTTATAAGATAATCAGTGTTGGATGTTATTTAGATTTGAGTGATATTATAAACCGATATTTGGTGATGTGTTTATTGAACTCCGAAAGATCAGAATGTTTAAGTCACACAGGGTTACGTACTAATATATCTGCATTTTATTTATTTTAAGGCATAATTTTTACCTCTGCAGGGATTGAGCCTGAGGATAACATTATAGCAAAGCAAATAAATAAATAATGTGAGGAGAACTAATGAGAAATAAGACAAAATAGGACCTTGTTAAAGTTTGTAAACCTTTAACAGTTTAAATCTGTTCAAAGTCTTGGTGGGTTTAAAAACTCATCTAAACACACATTTTAATCTAATTCCAAATTCTCTTTATATTACTGAAATGTTTAAAAATGGTTCTAGATGTCAAGCTTGTAACAACAGCAGAACCCTTTTTGGTGCTATGTAGAACCATTTTCAAAAAGCTTCTATATACAACCTTATACAACACCTTCTTCATCAATCTGAAGAACCATTTCACCATGCAAAGAACCATTTAGACATGAAATGGTTCTATATAGAACTCTGGGTTCCTTATAGAACCATTCCCTTTATTAAAGACTCTAAACTGGGACGGTGATTCCAGCTATAAATCACGGCAACGCATGAAACCGCCATCTGATGTATTTCCAGACAAAATTACAGCTGGTTTCTGCTGTTTAAGCCCCTGCTGTGTGGCTCCGACTGAATAGGCTGAAATCAGGCCAACTTTTCCTGATCAGAAGAGCTTTCACATGGGATGTTCATCTCAATTACTGAGCTATTTAAGGTAGATCTGCTGCCTCATCGTTGTTACGTCAAAGGCAGCCTATATAAACAGACCACAAATATTCACAGCTTATTTGGAAAAAGAGATAAAGATAAAAAGAAAAGAAGGGCTGATAGTCTACTGTTTTGTATTGAAATCCCCATATAATATTTGTGTGGTTTTATGTACCAACAACATTCACTTTTCCATGAGCACTTTCCAACCTCTCTTCATTGGAAGTATATTGGCTATATAATATATTGGCTAATCTGTATTGGCTCGTTCCCTTATACTCCTTATAACTTCAGTGAGAGTGGCTAAGCTGCTGTAGGCTGAATAGCACATGTAAATGTGTCGGTTTTTGTGACATCACAAAATTGATTTGGCAGCTTAGTTTAGCTTAGCAGACTGTGTGAGATTTTACATTTTCAGTTTTCCATGATATGGACCCTTTAATAATTGAGTGTCAGTCTGAACACACTAAAAAATGAGTTTATATATGCTGGCACTATTTTTAATTGAATGGAAATGTGCGAAATAAATGTTCATAGAATGATTTATTTCTGCATCTGTGCATAATCATTAGCATATTTCCCAACTCATAAAGTGACATAAAGACATAAAGATCAAGCTTGAAAGCACTGCATAAGTACTTCATCTTCACCAAAAAGGGTTCTACAGCACATTCTCCATCAGTTTGAAGAACGCTGTAATGATGCAAAGAACCATTTAATCATGCAAAGGGTTCTTTGTGTTCATGGTTCTACACAGAACCATTTTCTTTACTAAAGAACTTTGAAGAACCTCTCTTTTAAGTGTGGACCTCACCAAATTCTCTTGCTATATTGGCAAATAATGTCTGTTTCAAGCATTATTTTTTTAAAACAAGGTAAATAATCTGCCAATATAGTGAGATAATTTCACCTATAAAATTACTGAAGAATAATAAAGTCTAAAAGCAAGTTAAACAATGTTGCAATATTATAATATATACCATCAAAATTATAAATATTTAATTTAAAACAATTTCACTTGCCAAGATGTCATTTTTTGCAATGTAGACTTTGTGTCACCCAGGAACACAAAACCTCAACTAATTTAAAAATGTGTATAGGGGGCACCGTTCCTGTCTAGAGCCCCAGAATTATTAAATCCACCCCTGGACGTTTGCTTGCTTCAGACTTGTCTAACACATCTACAGGTGGGTCACAAGGTCCATGTTATTAGTTTAAATGTTCCACTTAAGACAACATTGTTAATATTGTAGACTATAATAAAAACGCAGCTCCTGCTGTTTGAATGTTGCACTCTTTAAATTGTGATTTTGTATATAATTATATTTTGTGTATATAAACAATTAGTCTGTCAGCCATTCAGAGCAGAGCGTTTTCTGTCCTGATTTCTATTCAGTTGAATGAGCCCACTTTACTAGCCTAAAGCTATTGTACCGAAGGAATGTACTGCTATGTAATGTGTTTAGTGCTGTGTTATATTTAGTATTGATAAATACATTGAAGATCTTCATAGAATTATTCTGGACCCTGATCTGGAAGGACCTTTTGATAAGATCTTTAACTGGGTTGGTAACATATTTGAAGATGTTTTTTGGGGTCTTACAGCATTTGCTCACTTATGTATTCCCCTTTGTAGCACCAGTATACCAGAATAGTAACTATTGTCATTTATTTTGGCCTCAGATTACTCTGGTGCTTACACCTACAACAGCATAGACGTTCCTTATAAACATGGAAACACTTCATTTCCCAAATTGCCTGTATGCGGACTGAGGAAAGAGGCCTGTCTTAGGATGTGCAGAAAGAGGGAATACTACCGTATTTCACTGTACAAGCAAAGAATAGATTAAGCTTGCAAGAACATACACTTTACAGTATGTTCTAAGGGGAGAATGAAGGATTGTACTGCTGTGTAATGAAAGAACATTCTGTTCTGCCTATTTCTGGTCATGTCTGTCACACCTGTCACATCATATGTAGGCTGGGCCTAATCTTGGCATCAGTCTGGCCTACGTAATTGTGACCGTCCACTTGTTAATGGGCTGGCTAAAGGTCTGGTGCCTGCATGCAAACAGTAAAAATTCAATTCTGCAGACATAAGGCTGCTCCCTGTTTTTGGGCAGGCTTGGACTGTTCAGTATCTGGAATTAACTTATTTTTTAATGTTTTATTGTTTGTGTGTGTGGATCCATTTAATGCTAATACTAATGATGAAGTAGACATCCAGTCTATTTCGCTTTGATCCGGGCTATCTGAGGTACTTTGGGGAAGACACACAGAATTGTTATCCCGTACGAATCGGCCATTCAAATCTCTTACAAAATACATCACCGGACCTCCTCTGCTAAAACTAATCCAGCTCCAATAGGGCTTAAGCTGGTGATGGGTTTCTGTTTGACTTCCTTTCCTCTTTCGGTTAATGGCAACTAGTGCTGGCTGACTTTTGTCACTATTTGAAGATGAATAAAAATGCACATGAGAGTAAAACTCACCGGGGGTCCCTGAGGTCCCGGTCCTCCTGGCAGTCCATTTGCTCCGGGAAGCCCCTGATATAGTGAACACATACACACATACACTCACAGGCCTGTCCTGTATAACTACATCAACTATCTCTCAGTAATAAAGCATCATAATAATTGACAGGATAACTGATGATTAATTAATGAATCAATACATTGATCAATGATGATGATTAATAACAAGTACTCACAGCAGCTCCTGTTCTCCCTCTACCCTAAGAAACACATGCAGAGGCTTATTATGTTTCATATACAGAAATCATGAACATCAGACTGTAAAATAAAAACAAATATAAACTATATACACACAGCACTGTGCAAAAGTCAGAGACCCTTCATTTATTTACTTTCAAGTCAAGCAAAGTTCAGTTTTAGAAGTTGGTTGATCATTTTCTGAAGTAATCAAACACATTTAGTGATGCTGAGGTCTGGACTCTGGGGTGGTCAGTCCATTGTTCAGCTTCTTTGTTTGATGTGTCTGTCTCCTTTTCTCAGTGAGGCTTCTTGACAGCTATACATCCTTTCAGACGCATAGTGCTGAGTTATCTTCTCACAGTGGAAGGATGGACAGAAACACCTGTGGATGTTTTCAGATCTGAAGCAGCTTGATTTTCTCCTCTCTCTCAAAGAGGAAAGCTTTAAGTGCTGTTTATCTGATAGGGGCAGTTTTGGTGTCTACCAGGTCTTCTGGTTGGTTGTTAGGAGACTCATTTACTCTGTAGCTTTTAATTAGTTTTTGAACTCCAGTTTTGGAAACTTCTGTTTTTTTCTACTTATTTTACTTTGTCTTTCTACCTCCTTATACAAGTGGATCTTATAATCTAAAAATCTTATTCCTTATATCTCCTGAAAATCTTAACACCCATTTTGACTGTAAAGTGAATAAACAAAGGGTGGTCTCTGACTTTTGCACAGTACTGTGTTTGTTCTTGCAGGGTTGTGATAATAAGCTACTTACAGGAGGTCCAGGTGGTCCAGGAGGTCCTGCATCACCCTGCAAAAGTGCAAAAAATGTTAAAATTTCCAACAGATACAGAATCTTGTACATCTTAGACAGTCATTAGACATGAGAGCTGAAGTGAGATGAAGCAGAACTGTAACTTCCAAGAAAACACAGCTGTTTACTGCTCCCGCTGTTTGTTTCCTGTAGAGGATTCGAGTAATGTGGGAGATGTTCTGAAATGCTAATGTGTTGAACGCAGCGTAATAGGCTGGGAGAGTCAGATTTCACTCTTTCATCAGCTTCACGATGGGAAAATGTAAACAAAAATCAAAGTTTCATCAAAGTATTTGATGTATTCTCACTAATGCTGCGCTGACGGCCCTCAGCTGTGTTTGGACTGACTGTGTGGTGTCGAAAGAGAGAAATCGATTGCAATTTACATCTGAGTGTGACCATAGCCCCCTGCTGACTTTCAGCCTGTGTACACTACATGTTTTCTTAGTGGGGTGAGAGAGAGAGATTTCATGTCTTCTTTTTCTATGACTGCTGTAAAGAGAGCTACAGTGAATTTACTTGATTCAGATATGTACATTATTTACACTCATAAAATATATTCCATTAACAAACTTCTTTCTGTTTATTTACTTTTGACAACAGTAGTGTTGATGTGATATATTATATTTATGTGGAAATGATTTACACTTTAGAATCAACTAAATTCAGTGCAGTTCTTTTTTCAGTGTGGGTGGGCCAGGCGAAACTCCCATAGAGGGGAGTGAACCCAGCAGTAACCAAAACTATGAAATGTTTGTTAAGCATCGACCTCAGAACAAGAAAAAACACAACACTCTAAAACCTCTTTGAATAATAAAAAAAACAATAAAGTTCAACATAACTTTAATTAGCCCAATACAAGCCACGTTCAGAGTTGTCAAACAAGAATTTCAAACTTTCATCATGTTAATTTTTATCTGTGTTTTTTGGTTTATTTATCAATAAGATTTCAACATCTAAAGTTACATTTTGGGGTCTGGACTGTTTGTGCCCTATGATGCTGCCACTGGTCTGAATGATTCTGGGCCAGATTTACTGAGCATAGTGTAGTGATGTCTGATGAGAAGCCCAGCTGAGCTACAATGAGTAAATATTTACATCCTATCATATAATATTTTAGCGATTATCACTCTGCTATTATAATGAGGGCACAATATAGTCCAGAGAATATAAATTATATAAACTATATATAAATATATAAACTACTCAAACACTGTACTAACCTACAGTAAGTTAATAACATTGCACAGTGTGAGTGAGTGTTTCTTTAGGATAAATTCGCCACAGGACTGTATTGATTCATTTTGTTTGGATTTCCTATCCAGCATTTACCACTACACACTGAGAGTGAATATGCCAAACGCTAACAGCCGATTCTGTTACATCAGTACCTGTGCTGGCTAGCATTGTGCCAGAGACATTATAAAGGAGGAGCAGACTGTTCACTGGTTTGAAAATGAATCAGAAAGGTCTTAACCCTCAACGTCGTACAATTTACGTGCAAAATACCACCTTTCAATAAAACGATCTAATCATCTCGCTGGTAAAGCCACAAGCAGGAAAGGCCTGAGCATGCACAGTAGCCAGAACGTGCTTAGCCAGGACTTACAAACTATTAACCCACTGTGGTCTGAGGGCATTTTCTCGATTTGTGCATCTCTTCTTAAATTCTCTTCATATAACATGATACTCATATGTTTCATATTAAAATGCTCCGTTATCTTCATCACTACTTTCAAAACCACAGCAGCAACTTCAGCAGCTGTAAACTCTCTGTACTCCATTTCACATGTGTCTCCAATGTGGACTGATTGAAGAACGAAGGGTTTTCGGCGTGATGGTCAGTGCTTAGTGATTTCCTGAGTGTCCATTGGTCAGTTTCACACTGAATGTAGACGGACACACGAATCCACCAGTTCCACACGGTGAGAGGCAGATGACGGGTATATCAGCCCCTCATGTACGATCTCAAATCTCACATCAAATTTGACACACGGGCAAATAACTGTGGCATCACTGGCGATCAAACTTGCGATTCCCTGATAATAGGACCAACACCTAGACAGTTGCACCACTCATTAGCCTTAAGAAATGTATCTGCAAAGCCACTATTCACTGCAAGTAAACATGCTACCTTTCTGAAACAGGTGCTGCTTACAGCCTGGCTCACAGCTCACAGTATGAACTGTAAGAAAACGCTGCTCTAACCACTTCCTCCATTCATTCCATTATACAGCATCCTCAGAACAACGTCTAGCTGGATGCTAACTTACAGTATTGTCATTTAGTGATGGAGCTACCTAATGAGAGAATAAACCAAAAGCAGCCAGCCAGCCACCTGACACTAGGCTGGCTAAAGTTACATAGCAAATATGGCTAGCCTGTCTAGCTAACAGCATCAGAATGATGATGTAGCAACAAACAGGTGCATATCTATTGTCTATTAGTAAACTATTAGCAAAGTGAGTTGAGGGTGAGTAGAGATGGTGAAAATATAAAGGGGGTATTTAGTGCAGAAAAGAAAGTAAAGTAAAGAATGTAAAAACTGTTAACTGATAATTTGGCAGAGTGGGTGCTTGACAGCTACCTCATGTAATGTTTTAAACATAAGAACAACTATAATCACCATCACCACCATGCTGAAAAGTTCAGCTAAGACCGGCTTTTGCCAGTAGCTGGTGTCAAATAGTCGAAGCTGGTCTTAGATGGTCTATGTGGTTGTCAAGCTGGACGTCCAGCTGAACTTGGCAAAAACATACCCTTTGCTTGTCAGTCAGCTGGATAAGCTAGTAGATCAGTTTAGCTGGTTGACCAGCATAGGGTATGCTCATCTCCCAGCTGGACCAAATTGACCAAGTTGGTTGACCAGCATGAGAAGGCATGGCTCGAAATCAATGTTCTAGTGTATCGCAAAGGTGTTCTGCGCAGGCCACTGGAGTTTCTCCACAATAAAACTTGTCAAGCCATGTCTTCATGGAGCTTGCTTTGTGCACAGGGTCTCTGTCATACTGGAACAGAAAAGGGTCTTCCCCAAACTGCTGCCACAAAGTTGGAAGCATATAATAGTCTAAAATTGTCTATGCTGTAGCATTAACATCACCTGTCACTGGAACTAAGGGGCCCAAACCCTGAAAACCCCTCCTCCACCAAACTTTACTGTTGGCACTATGTATTCTGGTAGGTAACTTTCTCCTGGCATCTGTTAAAGCCAAATTCGTCCATCAGGCTGCCAGATAGTGAAGTGTGATTCATCACTCCAGAGAACATGTTTCCACTGCTCCCAAGTCCAGTGGCGGCGTGCTTTACACCACTCCAGCCGACGCTTGGCATTGCACAAAGTGATCTTAGGCTTGTGTGCAGCTGTTCTGCCATTGTAATCCAATTTATGAAGCTCCTGACACACAATTCTTGTTCAAATGTTGCTTCCAGAGGCAGTTTGGAACTGTGTATTGAGTGATGCAACAGAGGATAGGCAATTTTATGCGCTGTGCACTTCAGCACTTTGCGGCCCCACTCTGTTTGCGTGGCTGAGCTGTTGTAGCTCCTAGCCACTTCCATTTCACAATAATAGCACTTACAGTTGAGTGGGGCAGATCAAGCAGGGCAAATGTTTCACAAACTGATTTGTGGCAAAGTTGTCATCCTAGGACAGTGCTACATTTAGAGTCACACACCTGTTAACGGTGAATACACCTGAACTCAATAATTAGGATGGGTGTCCACATATATGGTTGGCCATATAGTGTATATATCAGTTAATGTTCATGTTGCTCCCCCCCACTCCCTTTCAGTCCATGCAGTTTGTTGGTCCCTCCTTGCAAGGAGGTTTTCGCAGGCATGTTTTATGACAATGTTCCTTTACTATATGACATGGCATGTTTATCCATTAGATTTACCATCAGCTTAGAGCACTGCACCTCACTTGGCACTTCCATATCAACAGCCCTGCATCCACCCTTGCAGGTTAACAAAATATTTTTGCTAAAGCCGATCTGGCTCCTTCCTAAGCACTCTGAGCGTGTGGTGGGAAGCTTTAACATTCTTTACCGGATTAGAAGTACAGGCACAGCCTCCATCCAGAGAAATTCGACTAAAGTCAGCTGATTGCTCGTTAAAAAAGCCTCCCACAAAGAGCCGTCAGCGGGATGAGTAAATCTGGGCCGACAGGCGCGGTTAAAGGCCCCAGCTTTAGCCCAATCCTCAGGACTAGCTTTTCTACCCACACGATTCACCTACCGTGACCTCCAGAGACACTTTAACGAAGAAACTAAAACAGAGTTAGCAGAGGCTAAACCATGCTGACACTTCTGAGAAAGGAGGGTGAGGAGGTGTTTTTTGTCTTCTGATAACTGAGGAAGTATTATACTTGCATTTCATTGCTGTCATAACAAAACCTGTAACAGAGTTTTGGACCATATCTGTGGGTCTATTCGTCAGGGAATGTTCACACAATAAAACCCCTGTGTGTTTTTATGTTGCTGGAATACATCCAAAATTTTGACAAAGCCGTGTGGATCTGTACATACAATCCTGTACTTAAAGCTATGTAAGTTTTGAGAATTTGGAGACCTCTCTGATGGAAATGTGTAGTTGCATGCAATGTGCGGAAGAACATTTTGTTACGTGGGTTGTGCTCTGGCCTCCTTCCCTGAATGGATGAATTTGATGATTTTATTCTCCTTACTCAGTAATACTTCTTTTAGTTTTAACAAAAAATTATATAGTGCAGCAATAACTGTCCATCATCTGCTTGTTATGTGTGTCAATCAGCTGCAGCTAAAGCAAATGGAAATACTCAATTACAAATACGCATGCAAGGTAGCAGAACATGACATACTGCCAGAAAACATGATCAAACATGACCATCCAATGGACCTTCCACCTTCCACAACCATAGTGTAAATCAAGAATATCCAAGGATACATTCCAGAAAAAGGTTACATTAGGAAGTAACTGGCAGGGTAATGTTTGCTTCCTAGTGTTCAGTTTATTAAATCTATTTTCAGATTTTGCCACTAAATTTCAGATCTCACGTTCCATGCAGATCTGATTGGAGGCGAGCTGGTTTGTGTCGAATGTAGCAGCGTAGTCATCTAGCATCTACTCACACTACACTTTTATCATAGAATTTCATTATTTTTTTTTCTGCAAACTGATGTATTAGTCTCAGCTAGTTTTAGTTTTATTGAATTCTGTGTTGAGCTCCTGGAAACGTTAAAAGAAAAGAAGTGAAGCTAAAGTATGATGGCATTTTATCAATGAATATACCCAGTGAGAGCTTCCTCTGCTGGATGTTTCCAGACATAAGCAGTCAACATCCTATAGCATTCACCACAAAGCCTTAGAATCGTACGTGAATCTATTAATACTACTAACAGTCCAAACTGCATTTGGTGTTGATACAAAAAAGACTGTACAACAAAAAGTCTATTTAGTTATTCCATTACATTTCTACAGAAATATATGCAAACTATTCTTTGACTCATTATGAACTGTAAAGCATTTAGTCACACATGAACTCTTGTCTACAAATGAAACGCCTATAAATGATTTCCTGACTTCCTACAATCACAATTAGACACAATGTGTAGAGAATGTATGATGCAGTGTATTTACACATATAATGTATTTTTAAAACAATTTTGTGTAGTAATACTACACTGCACTGAATCTAGGGGAGATATGGTAAATACACACACTGTCCACTGTAGATGCTTTGTAGATGTTCAGCTTAAACTTTTCTAAATATGTAACATCGCTTTTTTTCTGGCCTAATAGACTGCTCGTATTTTGAGCACATGTAACTACAGTTTCAGTCATGTGACCTTTTTTCCTGCAGCGTCTCAAAGAGAGGACAACAGTGGGGAATTAAAAGATCTCCACTTCATCCAAAAACATAATTCACCTCCAATATGCAAATGTGAAAACACAAAAAAATGGTGATCCAAATGTGTCAAATGGTTGCACACCAACAATCTTTGCCAAAGTAAGTAAACTTAAAGACAGCTTGTGTTGATTAAACATATTTTACTGATGTGCAACTGACTGACACAACTGAACCGAGTTAAGTTCAAAGCACCATTATTGTTTGTTTCAGTGTAAAAATGAATGGATAGTAGTGAACAACAGCAAATAGCTCGCAAAGCTTTACTGCTTACTATCATAAGTGTCTGCATGTTAGGGTCAGTGGAAGGCTGATCTGTTGTCTTAGAGAGCAGTAAAACTCAATGAGGCGTATACACAGGAGACTCATACAGACAGTCAGAGACAACTTACTCGCTGCCCTGGGGGTCCATCCTTCCCTGCTGGACCATCGGGACCCGGCAAACCCTAAAAAAGTATGAGATGCATCATTTTTTAGCTTGTTAACAGACCTATTAAGCAAAGACTCATGATATTCTAATGGTATGATGCTGTAGAACTGAGTGCTGCACTGCTTTATTTTCTTTTATAAAAGCTTGTAATGAGCAAAGCTTTGTTTTGTTTCCCAAAAGCTTTTTAATGGCTAATTCTTCTCAGCTAGTGAAATTCTTAAACTTAGCTGGCTCTGAGCATCAATCCTGAAATACAGAACTCATTGCACTTTCACTGTTAGTGGCACAAAACAAAATCTAGTGCAACAAAAGCAGCTCTGCTACAGAACAAGATGGTGAGCGTGGTAGAGCGACCATGCTAGTGGCAGCTAGCATTCTAGTGGCTAGTTAGCTTTCAGGATAAATTTACCAGCTAACGTTAGGGGATTATCAGTTTCATATACTGAAGCAACTCTCTACTAGGGATGTGGGAACTGGGGGTGCTAAGGGGGCTGCAGCACCCCCAGGTTTTAAGATTGCAACTGCTAAAAACGATAACAATAATAATAATAGAGAGATCCTAACTTTATAATCATTTGAGCATAGTAAAGACCAATTTGTGCTCGTTTTATCGTGGAATTCATGCTTTTCTGTTTTACTTATATATTTTCAAATTCTGCAGTAGCTGTACTGTTTAGGTTTATGCTGTAGGTTTATTACAGTGAGCCGAGTCACTTCCCTCACCAACTGCTGGGCGCTTTGTGGGCGCGTCAGTAAACCACACGCAGGTTGGTGAGAAAGTATATGCAGAGTTATGGGCCAGTTTTGAACCCAAAAACTACCTAAAATTGTTTTTTAAACCTTAAAAGTTAATAATGATTTGTATTTTGTGTATATTTGTGTAATTTGTATATAGTGTAGTATCTTGCCACATGAAACCACATTGACACATTCTGTTTAATGTAAATTATCAAAATAATGGAAATAATAATAATGCAAAAAAATGCAAATCATTTTGCATGATGTCATCATCTACATCACCCATATGCTTCTTAAAAGTTCAGCATCCCCAACTTAAAACACCTTCCCGCATCTCTGCTTTCTACACAAGTAACCTAAACTACATCAGCCAGCTGGCAGGACAGATGAGTTCACTGGGCTGTTAACACAGTTCCATCTTAATTAAAGACTGAGCTAGCTAATTCACAAGAAGCTTTTCTTAGATACGTACAATACTTAAGAAATGCTGTGGCCCAATGCAGCCCACATGGCAGATGAGACACACTTTACTGTTCACTATTAAAATTAGTTTTTTGCAGGTAATTTTTTATGAACCAGCCTCAACAATTTGTCTCTACTTCCTTTGGGGAGGTTACAGTTTTAATCTGAGGCATCATGAACAACGCCCCCCACCCCAATTTCCGAATTCATCACACCCTGGAAAAATTAAGAATTTGATCTTGACATTTCCCGGAAATACTAAATTTGTAGATTACATTATGCATTAATCTTAGTTAGTGAGATGGGTTCTGACTTACGTCCACTCCCGGAAGGCCAGGCAGGCCGGGAGCCCCAGCTGTCCCTGGGGTTCCAGCTTTTCCTTTAGGACCCTACAGCCAAAATAAAAAACACTTCATCAAAATTCATTAAATTCAATGTAGATAGTGAAATAAATTGATTTGAATAAGTTCAATCCCAAAAGGTTAAATCAGAACTGTTCACTGTTTATGAATTCTTTAATAGTACATGTTGGGGGTTTAAAGTAAAAATGGCAAAAGGGACATAGCGTGATATGATCTGTCAATCTTGTCGACCAATCACTTCATTAAAACAGCCGTCCCAAGCCACGTGCAGCTCTAGAACAGGCGGTTTCATTCTGAAAGCTTTAAATCCACAGGATCTGGTGAAATACTCACAGGCTTTCCAAGAAGTCCGGCAGGGCCTGGCTTTCCCTGTGGAGTAAACACAGTTGTGTTTATTTGTATACATTTTTGTAAAAAAAATTCTGCCACAGTTTTTTTTAACAATGTCTCTGATCTCTAACTTTGATGGCATGTTTAGTGAAAGTCTGACTAAAATTTAATCCGGCTGTTATAAAATCGAATTTGAATTTATGTTTGCATATCGTCACTGTCTGATCAAAGCTTCATATCTCCAACAGAGAACACAGGAAAGAAAAAAAGGAAAAAATGTATAAATGAACATTGAGTTGGCTTGACAAAGTCGTAGCTGTGGAATCCTAAGGTGTTGCTATGTTATCCCAGGTGGTTACTAAGGTGTTGCTAGGCCATTGCAATGGTATCCCAGGTGGTTGCTAAGGTGTTGCTATGTTATCCCAGGTGGTTACTAAGGTGTTGCTAGGCCATTGCAGTGGTATCCCAGGTGATTGCTAAGGTGTTACTGTGTTATCCCAGGTGATTACTAATGTGTTGCTAGGCCATTGCAGTGGTATCCTAGGTGGTTGCTGAGGTGTTGCTATGTTATCCCAGGTGGTTCCAAAGGTGTTGCTAGGCCATTGCAATGGCATCCCAGGTAGTTGCTTTTTTATCCCAGCCAGTTGCTAAGGTGTGGCTGTGCCACTGCAATGGTATTCTAGGCAGTTGCTAAGGCATTGCTATGTTATACCAGTTGGTTGCTAAGATGTTGATATGCCACAGCTGTGGAATCCCAGGTGGTTCCTAAGGTGTTGCTAGGCCATTGCTGCATTTTTGGAGTGTTTTTATTGGTCTGTTTGTCATTAAAGTTTGAAACAGTGTAAGATGGGACATGTTCAAATATATTAATTTTGCCGTTACTTTTATTAGGAGAAACTTGCAAAATGTACTAACACTAATAAACCACTTTTTAAGGTTAAATAGTTCAGAACAGTCCAACCCATTTGGAGAAAAACTTGATTTAGCATGCCTGATCCAGGCCACTGAGGGCTGGATACTCAGGGATTAGTGGAAACACTAATAGGTGCAGAGCATCTTAACAAAAAGACTTTCAAAGTTTTAGAAGCATAATAAAAATATCTGAAAAATAAAGAGCTTCAACCTTCTCCTCATCATCCATACTGGACTATAACACTGAGACTGGAGAATAGAGTAGAATAGAATAGAATAGAATAGAAGGTGATATAAAATAGCCCCACACTTAAGTTTCTCTCTCATTAGAACACAACTTAAATGTTTTGTAGTATTACTATTAAATAATTTACCGACATTACTCACTATTTATTCTGCATTATCGTATTTTAAGATTAAAAACAATAGTAGGTCTAGGATTCAAGGGTTTAACAGGCCTTTGCTGTTTTTGTCCACAAATCAGCTTTACTAAAAAGAGGTGGGAGATTTGGCAGAATTCAAAGTTGTCATGATAAATTACTGTACAGTGAGTATATCGTTAATATTATCACACTTTATTATTAACACATTATTAACACTTAAAAAACATCCAAAAACATTGTATTTTTACATAGTACTTTTTATATCTGCCACTCTTTTTAGTCTGTTCCAACTTATAAAACTTCAGAAAAACAAAACACTGTATTGCATAACAAGAAAATGTACTTAAGTAAAGTAATATTGTACCTCCCCACCCCACTGAAAAAGAATATACTAAAAATATAATTGTTTCTATTTGTATTTTGGAATATTTACATCCTATGATAATATTTCATTTTCACAGGGGCAGCCTAGACTATTCCTGGTGTAATATGTGTAATCTGGAAAAAGTGTTTTAAATAAATAATAAATAAATAAATAAATCTTGCATACTGTCGTATGCAAAAGTTTGAACACCCTTGGCCAAATTACGTTTCTCTATGTAAAATAAGTTAACATGTCTTATGAATTTTTTACTAAAATATGGCTGGGCTGCTGCTCTGGTGTCCCAGGTGGTTGCTAATATGTGTGTATATATGTGAGCTCGTATGTGTGTGAGTGTATGTAATGTCTATGAGGGGCAGTGTGTGTGTTGTCCTTTATGACATCATTTGTGGAAGTTACATTTGAATTTTCTCAATGTTGCGCCGTTCATTTCTTAAAGGATACAAATCGCATTTTAACAAACACTGTATGAAAAAAGGACAAGCACACTATTTCCGCATAGGCACTACAATCCTGCAAAGTTTTGTGTTTTTAGCTCAAAAACTGTGAATATGTAACCAAAAAAAGCACATTAGTTGGCACAATTTATACTGTATATTTTATTTTTCCAATATATTAAATTCAGCTGATAAATAGAAATTGTGCCCTAAAATTTGCAGGAAAATGTCACATCAACAACAACATGGAATTTGACCAGAGGTGTTCAAACATTTGCAGAACTTCAAGAAGGAGAAAAGTGAACAAGTCAGAAGTCAAAAGCTGAGAGGCCCAAAGTGATGGGGGCGCGGTGGAAGGCAGGTAGAGAAGGAGAAGGAGTATGGGATAAGTTAGAGACGTGTAGAGGGGGTTGGGTGGGGGTTGGGGGGGGTGGGTAACTGTAGAAGGCCGTGTTTGATTTTGGGGGCAGTATGAATAGCCCTCTGTGTGTCCAGCCTGCCAGGCTGCTCTGCTATGCTGCTCTACATTTACTGAGGAAACATTCACTATTTTCTTAGTAAACTAAACCGCATTTTCTCTTCAACATAACAAGTCCTGCAAGTGGGCATTAAAACATTACACATGCAAATGAACAACACATGCAGCAAAGCAGATAACACCGATACTGTATGCTAATTTCTATATTGTTACAGCTATCCAAAGAAAATGGCAACTTTACTTTTAATTTGAGACGATGTAAAGAGATTTTATTTCATCATTTCTCTCTTGGCCCATTCATGGAATTTTCTCACAATGTAAAGAACAACAGATTTTCTCAAATTCCGTCAAAAAATGACAAAATCTTTTGGACAGCGACGATATATTGAACAATGTTGTCTTATTTTGTACATTATTATTATCTTATTGTTTCTAATAAACTTTTTATTTTAGTTTCATTAATTCCTGTTTAAATTTTAAGTGAGGGTCAAACCTCAACGTGTTTTCAAATTCAAAGAAAGGTTTCAATTGAAGGAATGAAGGGAAAATATTTATGGTAATATCAAACAGCCCAACACCTCCAACCTCTCAAATTAAATAAAAACTCTAAAGAAGGCAAACATAAATCTGAAATACGTCACTGCCCAGCTACACCTATCAGCGGTGCTGAAATGAGCTCTACGCTTTTGAAGGAGGAGCCTTCAGTATAAATTACCAGCATAAAGTCAATAAAGTCATACAGTCTGACTGATAAACTCTTCACTGCTTCAAGACATTTACACTTAGTGTAGCGACTGAAGGATCATTTTTTCATTCGGATTAAAAAGAATGTACCGTAAAAGAGCCGTATGCAAAAGTCTTGGCACCCCTGGACAAACTACATATCATATGGATTTTCGTAGTGAAAATAAATACAATTTTAATGCAGAATAACTGCTTATTTGCTGAATTTAACATATTGGGGAAAAAAACAGAACATAGAATAAGTTCTTTGCAAAAGTTATGGCACATTTTGTATTTTGTTTTTTTTTTTTTCAATATGTTAGGCAAATAAATATAAACTGTGTAGTAAAATTTGCCATATTTAAGTGCGTTCTCTATAGAGAAACTTGCCATTTGAGTGTTCAAACTTTATGACTGTATATCATCACTGTCATATTAAAATCTTACCATTTGAAAACATCAGCTGTAATTCACACTGGGTAAATATTTCATGATGGATGGACCAATAGAAAGGGTCCAAAATTACTTGGAATAAAATCTTCTAATAAAGTTACCATCAGAGATAAAGCAGCAATGATATTTATCTTAAATCAAGATAAATCTACTGAGAGAAACACTAACATGACATATATGTCCGTGAGCACCACGTACACATTAAGATGCTTGAGTTCAAATGTATCACAGTGTCTCCTGATTCCCCCTGTGCTGCAGACTTTAGTGTCCTTCTGCTCTAATACATCTGATTCAGCTCCTCAGCTCATCAGCAAACCCTACACCAGGTTATAAATGCTTGTTTCTTATAGAACTTCTCAATCAACGGCTCAGCAATTAACATCAAAAATAAAGAATCATCATTCAAACTTAAGTGATTTCACAGTTCACTCACATCAATGCCATCCTTCCCTGGGGGTCCCGGTGGTCCTGGAGGTCCAGGTGCCCCACGAGGACCTGGTCTCTGCTGCACACAAAAGTGTTCATCGTTTTAAAATCTACTCAAACATCTAAAATACTTTTTAAACCCATCTAAACATTCAGACGTCTTGTGCATAAACATTTTAATTCTGTGTGGACTTTGACCTTATAATAAAAAACAAGCTCTAGCACGTTCAGTACGCTTCTCAGTAATTTTTCAAATAAAATGAATCGATTATATTCGATTTATGTGTAGAACTTTACAAAAACAAGTCCTGGTGCCCACAGACTTCTTTAATGCGCACCCTTGCGCCAAAAAGTTGCCAAATTACGCACGTGTTTAACTTTACATGCAATCACAAGCTGAAGATTTCTGTTAATAAAACGCTTCGTTTACACTGTATTTATTATAAACACACATATTTTATGCTCTAATGTGACTGCACGGGGCAGTTGGAGAGACCCCTGGAACAATGGTGCCATTGTGGAGAGGCCAGTGAGCTGCGCACTGCATTCCACAGCGCACCAACTTCACAAACTTCACAAGTGTGTGCAGAAAAGCCCTTTTAAGTGAAGCGAGCGTGTAAATATTAGCCTTCACACCCACAAACCACTCAGTTTCACTCAAATTCGCTGACCAGTTTGGCCAAGCAAAATGTATTTTATACCAACAGACGCACTAAAACCGTCTGTGCGTTCGGTTTACAGCATTCATCTGCATTAAAGCACCTTTTATAGTCATTAATATCATTCAACTGACCACAGCACGGGCTATCTGCATCTTTTACTGCAGGCCTGAAAGAGAACTGTTGGAGTAGTGCTGTTGGAGTAGCCTTACCTGGGCAAGTGATGATGCCAAAAGCTGGCAGAGGAAGAGTAGCCCCAGAGCTGAGAACATGGCCATAGTCCTGTCCAACTCTCAGCCGATTCTCTGTGCAAAAACGAAGTGGACTCGAGCCCCCCGGGTTCCCTGCGCTTTTCGCCTCGCCTCGCGCTCCCCCCGGGCTTTTTTGACCGCGATGGACCGCTCCTTCTCCTCACGGCGCGCGGCTCCTCAATGACTTCCGCGAGGATTCCAGATAAACCCGAGGCTCCAGCTGAAGGGGAGAGAGGGCTTTCTCTGCTGACCGGAGCCAGCTTCAAATGGGAGGGACAACTCCAAAATGGGTGGGCCTGTGGCTCCAAATGGACATGACACAGCTCCAAATGCGTGGGACCAGAGCTCTAAATGGGTGGGACGCAGATCCAAATGGGTGGAACTGCAGCTCCTACTTGTATCTGTTATGTTCATTTACCTATAATCCCACCCATTTGGAGTTATGTCTGTTAACTATAATTTGAGCTATGGTCCCACCCCTTTGGAGCTATGTTCTGTTCATAGGTGGGCACCAAATGCACAGGCCACACCTCCATGGCTCGAACCAAAGCACTCAAAAGTGTCAAATGGGCCCAAACATACATCCAAATATGTGGGACTGTAGCGTCAAAAACGCACAGCGTAGCTCTAAATGGGAAACACAAAGCTCCAAATGGATGAGACTAGAGCTCTAAATGGGCAAGACGAAGATCCAAATGGGTGGGACTGTAGCTAAATGAACAGAACATAGCTCCAAGGTAGGACCAAATTATAGCTAAATGGAAAAGACATAACTCCAAATGGGTGGGATTATAGCTAAATGAACAGAACAGATGGATGAGGCTAGAGCTCTAAATCAAGTAAAAGTTTATTTATATAGCGCTTTTTACAACAGGTATTGTCTTAAAGCAGCTTTTCATAAAAAAAAATCCAGGTCCAAGCCCCCAGTGAGCTTCGCCAGTGGCGACAGTGGCAAGAAAAATCTCCCTAAGAGCAAGAGGAAGAAACCTTGAGAGGAACCAAGACTCAAAAGGGGAACCCATCCTCCTCTGGTTGACAACAGGTAGCAAACAATAACAGCAGAAAATGAGACTTGACCATTAATATAAGAGGTGGAAAGAAAGGAAAGCAGGAGTAGTAATGTCAATGATTAAAAAAATGCAGCAGCATCATCAGGAGGGTCCGTTCATGCAGGGGAGAATGATGCACATACACCTAAATGGGTGGGATTGTAGCTAAACAGAACATGTCTCCATAGCCGTAGGACTTTAGATTAAACTGTAGATAAATGAACAGAACAGATTCCATCATAGATCCAAATAGGTGGGCACAAAATGTACAGGACATATCTCCAGATGGGTTGGACCATAGCTCTCAACAGACAGAATATTAGATAGATTTTAAATGCACAGGGCCTTTTATTTCAGACCATAAACTCAAATAGACAAATATTACAAACAACTGAGAGAGAAAAAAATGACTAGACATAATATAAAAGGATTTTATAGTAAATTGTTGCTGACACTGTTAGATTAAAATTATTTACTAAACTAATTTACAAAGGATAACTAAAGAAATGAAGGAAGGAAAAATAAGTAAATAGTAAGTGGAAAATGAGCGAGGAGTGGAATTTTGTCTATCACTCTGCTTAAACACTGGTGGGCCGCCCAGAAAATGCTGAGCAAAACACCAGCAGACCAGCAGCTTTGCCATCAGTGGGCCAAAAGTGGTCCACTATCCTCTTGCTATTAGGGCTCTTACAGCAGCACAAAGTACAGTATAGACTACACTATTATACAGATGCATAAATTGTATGTAAAGATATATAATAAAATATACTAAAACAGCCATAAAATATGATGTGCAGTATGAAAATAAGTAAGTTAAATTGTATAAATATTATGCAGGTGACAACACAGTGGTGCTATACGTCCAGTGAATGAACTGATTGACTAAACAATCATATATGTTAATAGTTGTATATGCATGGATGTATAAACAAAGTGGCAGTGCAACATGCAATATGAATGGATGTATAAAGTGGCAGTGCAATATGCAATACGAAGGGATGTATAAACAAAGTGGCAGTGCAATATGCAATGTGTATGGATGTATAAACAAAATAGCAGTGCATAGTAAAGAGTAGTTACATCAGAGACATACAACTACACTGTAAAAAATTCAACTCGCTTAATGTTAGGCAAATTTAAAAAAATACAGTTGGCCCAACTTTCTCATGTTGGTTTAACTCAACAACCATGACGTCTCATAACTGACACGCTGCATCAAACTGGCCATTTGAAGTTTATGTAATGTTTTATGAGTTTTAGTACCTGGGTGGTTCTGCTGTTGAGCAAACTGACCCAGTACCTTAGCATCTAACTGATTCTCTACAAACATGGAGCTACATAAAGGTGTATATCAAACCCTGAGTACAAAACTACTCATAGAACTATTTTTGTTGCAAAAGTTAACAAAAGCGTCTATTAGCAGACTTTGTTTGGTTTATATTGTACATTCTCTGTAGCTGGACTAAGTATATTTTCCTTAGCCTTAGCTCCACTAAATATTTCTTTTAGTGTTGACCAAAAATGTCAGTCAGTATAAATAATAATTTACAAAAGCTGAGCAAAGGAGAAAAAAATGGGGGAAATCCTGTTCCTGTTTTGAAGCAGATGCCAAGGCAATAAAGGCCAGGCCAGTCAGAGGGTCTCATAAGGAAGAATGCCAGCAGTGCCTGAAGACCATGATGGCCTAATAAAAGTATGTTTTTTATAGCTCATGAATGAAACTTAGACAATCAGGACATGGGTTATATTGAACACTGATATATAGTTATATCTAATACCTGATGAACAGATAATTAGAAGCGAGCTGTCACGGTTTTTAGGGAATGTTCTCCCATTCTGACACCTCTCCTGCTTACTGTTGATCATTTTCTGGCACTACGTTAAACTCTTCGGTGGCTTGAGTCAGTGGCTCAAACTGTTAAGGCTCAAGACACATTGCCTGATCAGAAACCCCTTCCCTCGTCGAAGATGGGGATGGTAGTGGAGAAAAATCGTCAACCTCGTAAGACCTCCAAGCTGCAAAAGAGCCGTTTGATTCTGTCACTCTCCAGATTTTCTGGTAGCTCTAAAAACACAGCAGCTCAGCCCACCCGGTTTCCCTCACAGCCCCACCTCCAAATCCGAACATCATTGCAATGCCCCTCCCCGCGTGCCCCTCCCATTTTTGGGCATTTTTCAAAGTTGATCCAGGAGTGGAGTTTGCTGAAAACAGTGTTAGAATTGTTACTCTCTAATCGTCTTGCAAACTTGTCAAGCTTTGTGTTCATACCCACACAGCATCTGCTCTAAATACCTGAATAACAGCTTTCCCTAAATATTGGCAGAAAGAACTACACATAGAAGAATCTCATTTACTCATCTTAGTTCCAAAAAATTTGGGACACTATGTGAAATGCAAATAAAAACAGAAAGCAGTGATTTATAAATCTAGTTTCACCTGTATTCAAACAAAAACACTACAAAGACACCAAGAAATGTTCAAAAAACATCTTAAACAGGTGTAAAGATACCATCAAAAGATTCAAGGACTCTTTGTATAAACAATGCTCACAGCAGAGTTACTGTAGACTTTCATATTCATTTTTTTATTTTGGTTTTTGATTTAAGTTCAGCATAAGGCTGCATAATAAGCTGCATGACGTTTAGTTTTCATTTAGCTTTAGTTTTTAGTGATAGTAGGTATTTGATAAGGGCAGGAAAAGATGTTCTAAATGCATTAGTTCTATTTAAACAACAAAGCTATGCACTGTTGATATACAACCCAATCGGGCAAAAACCGCAGGTGTTGGGCACATGCTGGACACGTGACAGCCAGCAGCTCCTGATTAATACTAATAATACACACACACACACACACACACACACACTCATCTGCTAAGCCTCTTATCCTCCTGGGTCGCCGGGATAATACTAACAATAGTAATAGTAATAATCATCTGTTGCTGTTGTTGCTGTTAACATTGTTTTTGTCCTTGTTTATTACTTTATTTGTTGCTTTGACAGGGACAATACAGATAAACACTGCTTGTAGTTGTGTTTTCTCATCGCAGTTCAAAATCTAGACACAGGGCCAAACGGACAGGATGTAGCTCCAAGTGGGAAAAACTGTTGGCATCAAATGTAGGACGTACCTCCTAATAGGCAGGGCATAGCGCCAAATAGGTGGAACTAATGCTCTAAGTCGACAGAAAATACATCCAAATATGTGGGACTATAGCATCAAATATGCACAACAGAGCCCTAAATTGGGAAAGACAACTCCAAATGTGTAGGAGTTGAGCTCTAAATCGTCAGGACAAAGACAGAAATGGTTGGGACTATGGCTAAATGAATGAACTGAAAAGATCATAAATCCAAATAAGTGGGCACCTAATGGGCAGGACATACCTCCAGATGGGTCGGCCCGTAGCTATCAATGGATTTACAATAGCAAATGGACAGGATAGCTCCAAACAGGCAGGGCATAGTGCCAAATGGGTAAGGCTACAGCTCTAAATCAGTTGTGCCTAGTCCTACTCCAGGTAACTTACGACTCTGCACAATTTAGGTCCAACACTAATCAAACACACCTGATCCAGGTAATGAAGGCCTTCAGGTTCATCTGAATATTACAGCCAGGTGTGCTGAATCTGAAATCTCCAAAGCCAGCATCGTGCAGTGCTGCGGTAAATGTACAAAACATACAACCAAACATGTTGGACGATGGCGTCAAATACGCACAACATAGCTGTAAATGGAAAAATTGCTCCAGATGTTTAGGACTAGAGCTCTAAATGGGCAGGACGAACATCCAAATGGGTGGGATTATAGTTCAGTCAGTAATACAAACACAGCTCCAAAGGTTTAGGACTATAGCTCCCCCACTGGCAGATATCAGAGCTTTCACATGCTTTTTTGTAGCTGGATAGGAGTCTTTCTGCTCTGGTTGTAGGAATTTTCACCCACTCTTCCTAACAGAACACTTGTAATTCTGTGATATTCTTAGTTGCACAGTATGTTTAAAATCAGAGATACTCCCAGATTTTTAATGGCATTAAAGTCAGGACCAATTCAAAAGCTTCAGCCAGGGTGTCTTGAAGTTGTAGTTCATAGTAGATTTTGAA